CGAGAAAGAAAGGCTCACATTTCCCTTCTCGAAACGTTCATAACAATCGTATGAAAAAAGTTAAATGAAACTAACAATTTTTCGATCTATTATATTTGGCATACAATTTTCCTACAGGCCTTTGCTGACCACTGACGACCACTTCTGAGACTTCTAAGTGGTCAGCAGTGGCCAGCAGGGACAAACGGTAGCCAGTAGTAATCGTTATACGTTGTCAGATGTATCAGAAATGATATCTGAAATAATATACATATGTACGCTCATACACGGGAATAATAAAGAAAAATTTCTTTTTTTTTAATAATTAAAATATGATCAGGGGGTCTTAACCCTTTTAGTACCGAGCGAAAAACGGGTGCCTATGCGAAGAATACCGAGCCAATTTGACGAATTTGTTATGGTTAGAGAAAAAGCTCGTAAAAACCAAACTAAGAATGATATTTACAAAATTCAAAAAGCAGCATATTACGAAATAAAGAAAGAATAAAGTAATGGCAACTGCATTTCAATATTTATTGCAAATCGTATAAATAACATAATTATAAAATATGATAAAAAACATAGAAACAAGTTTCTCTTCCACAAACAATATTTACACATAAGAATAATCATTGTTTGATCACAGTTTTATGTAGGTCACGTAGCATAAAGTATAAGTATTTGATTTTCAATGATTTTTTAATAAATAATCAATTCAAAATATAATGAGGCTTTGTTAAAAAGTTATTAACGTTTAAAGTGGAGCCCGTACTGAATTTTTTTCTCGAAAACACGCAGAATTTCGAGGGTATGTCTATTCACCAAAAATGATTGTGATTGACTCCCACAACCGAAAATAATTTTTCCAGAACAATTTGAAATTTTTTTTTGCTGTCGAAAAATTTCACACATTCTCGAATTTTTTTCTCGAAAGTGGGTAGGAATTCAGGGGTATGTGTATTCACAAAAAATGATTGTAATTGACCCCCGAAACCGAAAATAATTTTTCCAGAACGATTTGAAATTTTTTTTTTTTCGTCGAAAAATCTAGGTACCTAATTAGATTTTCGGTAAGAAATTTTTTTCTCGAAAATGCGTAGGATTTCGGGGGTATGTGTAATGATAAAAAATGATTGTAATTGACACCTGTAACTAAATATAATTTTTTTAGTGTGATTTTAAATATTTTAATTTCATCTAAAAAGTTCAGTACCTACTCGAATTTTTTTCTCGAAAGTGGGTAGGAATTCGGAGGTATGTGTATTTACCAAAAATGATTGTAATTGACCCCTGCAATCGAAGATAATTTTTCCAGTACGGTTTGAAATTTTTTAATTTAATTGTTAATCATTTTTTAACGAGGCCTCAGTCAAGAAACTGATATTCTTCATTTTCGTCTTATTTTGACCTCTAGAATCTCCTATTAAAATTTTTCCCAGGGTTGGCCGAACACCCTGTATAATATGACGACTCCAGAATACATACGTTTCCGCCACAAAGTAGTGTTGAGTTGCTGGTTCGCCCGAGCGAAAAAGGCCTCTAAAAAATAATTTTTTAAATGCTTTTGCAATAAAATTAAACCCTTTATAATGTTTTACAAATTTTTTTTGAGACAGAGCTTTCTCCTAATGCGAAGAATAAGACACCATCGCATACGCAACGATATATCGTCGTTGGCACTTTTCGTCGTTCGGTACTAAAAGGGTTAAAACGTGTATTTTCGTAAAAAAAATGTCACAAAATTTGTTTTCATTATGTCACTTTGCTTATGTGTATGCCGTTGACGTGAGGTCAGATTTTCAGTTGGTCAAGAGCGAGAAGGGAAATGTGAGCCTTCCTCTCTCGACTCCCACGAGACGATCCGAGATTACTTCGGGCAGGCTTAAGAGAATCGAAAAAGAGGGCATGTGTGTCAGTTTGCCTTTGTCGACTCTCCGAAACTCTACCAGCTCATGTACGCGTGATCTAGCATAGTGTGAGTAAATAGAATGAGGTGTCCCCGGTGCACCCGGGGTTCCGTGTGGCATCTCTGCCTGTACCTACGCTTGCGATCGACGTTGTCCACGCCATTTTGAAAGCGATCGAGGAACAAGAGTCGAAAAGAACCGCGGGAGAAGAAAAAGAAGCTTGTCAAGAAGGAAAAGAAATGCCCGGTTACGCCTTCGTCTCGAATTACTCGCGATGAGATCGATGCGGCTGGTGGGCGTCGATCGGTAGGATCTCTTACACGAAATTCGATCCAGATTTTTTCGCTCGACTTAAACGATACGCAAACATTCTTGCGGGTCTATTTTTTCTATTTCTCATCGTTCTTGGTATGCATACATTATATCCAAATGGGTGGTTTTTAAGATGCATAATCGTAAAATCGAAATTTCTTTATTGGTCCATAATCTCTGCACACTCTCGATTAGAAAAAGGAAGGAACAAGGATTTTCCAAACCAGAAACTTCAGACCTGATTTCGTTGTACGTGATATTAGTACTATTTCTGGCAATCGGAGTGTTCTTACGCAACAGTGACATAATCGGAGATTCGCGTAATCACCCACGCCTCGCGCTGTCCAACGCGGATCTAACCCGGATCGTGTCACGCAGTTGTATCTATAAAGCGTTACAGTTATTCGAATTAATAGAATTTGATACTCGGTTGCTCGATGATAAAACTATGCAGAGCTGGTGTTTGAGTATTTAGAAAACGTTGAGTCGAAATACAGTTAGATTTAAAGAAAGTAAATTGTGAAAGAAAACGCGATCTTGGATTTTCTCCGGCGCCAACCGAGCCCGTCGTTCGAAAATTTACGAGTTCCCGTCGACGTTCGAAAGAAAGAAAGAATAATCGCTGACGTAGGTAACCGAAAAGCCTAAAGTCCCTCATGTGCAACCACTTGAGCCTTTTTATAGACGCCTCTTCGTGTTTCACACTCGTAAGAGCCGTCCAACTTGTCCCCTTTCTTGCCCCCTCTTCTTTCGCTTTCCGCGAACGAATTTCACGACAATGTTTGCAAAGTATTATCTTAAAATCTTTAAAAATAAGGACAACGAAAGGACGTACGCGTGCATAAAAATGGGAAACCCGAAAGGGACGTCCAATTCCATTTGAAACGGGGCCTGTTCGCACAGATTTCTTCAAGGCTTTCCTCGACAAAGAAGCGTCCATGTGCGTGGCACGTACAGAAAAGACTGAGCCAACAATGAGTAAATTTTGTTCGTTGCAGGGAGATAATGGGAACCAAGACGGATCCTGGGTGTGTATTATGCGAAGGATGAACAAGTTGTCACAGATGCAGCCTCGGGTTTCAGTTTATTGCGGTGGTGGCGTGCGACACACGTTACAAGACCTTTGAAGAAGACGTTCGCGACCGCGTCGAGGGAGGTCGGCGCCAGAGTCCCATCCTTCGCGACGATATCGCAAAAAGAGCTGCCCCCGCGATCGGTGCCCTGGAAATTGGAGAACGTCGACCAGGAATCCGACTCGGTGTCCTTGAAATTCGAGACACCGAACCGGAAGCAAGGTGCGTCGCGATACGATCGTAAGTGGGAATTTGCACTTCTTCTCATTCATTGAATACAAAAAGTGATTGGTCTTGTTCGTTAGCGAAGGTAGAAAAATAAGCTTCTACGGAAGCGCGTACAGGCGATTCATTTTCGAGTTTATGGCCCCTCAGAACTTCCACGTTTGAAAAAGTGTTCGATGATGGGCTACTCGACCGCTATTCAGCAATTTCAAGGACCCTCCGCGTCAAGTTCGCGAGGACCACGAATAGAAATGAAGGAAAAGGTTTGCAGACATCTGTTTTCGGTGACTACCCTCACGAATTGACATAAATTTGGTAACGGTACGCGGTCTGGGAGGCTCATTGTGCATGCTAATAACGCGTGGAAAAAAAAAGGCCAGGTCGGAGGAGGAGTCGGTGTCGTTGCAAGGGCATAAATAAATCGTGGAAGAGAACGGCGGGGAGGGGGACAAATGTCTCTCGAGTGAGTTTTCATTGCGGAAAAACGGTGGGCTCGCAGATGTCGAGCACACGTCGATGCCCGTCGCGTCGACGATCCCTCTGTTCGACGCCCCGGGGCGTCTGCCCGACATTCGTTCCGCTGCCACTCGCTGCCACCAACGACACCCCAATTTACGCAATCACGACCTACCATCGACCTGTCTCCGCAATTACTAAATGCATACCACTCGTGGCATTCGGATCGAACGCCCTATCTATTAAAACGGGACACGGTTGATCGCGGGGATGCATCCTAACTCGACGATCGATGGTCAATCTTGTGGTAGGCATTTGATCAACGTGGTAAACTCTCTATTCTATTTCTTACTCTTCGTCGGAGACAGAGAAACCGATCGTCAAAAAATTACGCGACGTCGATGGCGGAAGAAAAGTTAACTTTGGAATTTTTTTTTTTTAAATACTTGACCGTGCTGCTTTGGTGAAAATACGAAGCTCGTTTTCCCACGGTAGGGAGAACGTCTTCGTCCCAAGGGCGTTTTAAGCACGTGCTACGACTGTACTTGCAACCCTTGAAGCCGCACCATCGACCGTTAATGATGTCATCCAACTTCCACATATCGTCGCTGTTTTGCCAATACTTCCCGACGATTCACGCAACCCCTATTCAATCTCCATTCTTACTCCATTAGTGGGGCAAGGAAAATTACCCATCCCTCCTCTGCTTGTATCCAAATGTCATAAAACTTGGATACAATATAAACGAAGATTATATATTTCTCGATGACAAGAGTTTTCCTTGGATATCTAGGTTTTTGTATTTTTAGGAAATGGACAGGAATGAATTTGAATGCTTGTTCCCTATGATCGTATCGATTACTTCCATGGACAAAACAGGCGATCCATTCTCTTCTCGATTTACGGTCTCTTAGTCTTCTATCGCTTCTAGTTCCTGAAAAAAGATGGTCGAGGAAAAACAGTTAGCCTAAGTAAACAGCGACACGAGCACCAACAATGTTCTACTAATTAGAAATCACATTCCTCGTATTTTAACAACCGCATTTTCGTTTTACTGCTTTTAATGTGGATCCTCTTGAACCAATAACGTGTCATAATTACAAATTTATGATCTCTTGTTTAGATTTATTAGTGATATCGTACGCACATACATTAACAATAACTAAAGAGTATTATTTTTGCAACTGAACGTATAATAATCAATCGATCTTTGACTAGTATTATCTGGATTCTAGATATTTGTTTGTATTCTGATTTTTGTGTAACATATATATTCTTCTTATATTCTAGTTATATCTTTATATTATGCATTTTGTACTAAAGGATTCGCTCGTTAACGATAACAACCTCAGTAATAATAGTAATGACCTTTATATTAATATTAATTCTTTTTACCCACATTTCTCTTCCATTTGCCGAGTCTATCTATCTAGAAAGTTCTGAACCCCTTTTCATTAACATCCTGAATAAAACAGACAAGCTAGCATATTAATATAAACGCAAGAGCGAGCGTAAGAAAACTGAGATAAATTGTACCGAAATATTTTACATATTGAGTCTCGATCCAGCGATCTCGTGATTTACAACACCAATACTCTATGGCACATTGTCGCCACACTTCCGTTAACCCTATTTATTAAAAAATTCATTGTTTCCATTAGTCTGGGCACTGACATTCCACCGAAAGATACTCTAAACGATCCTACTAATCGTTCTACGCCTAAACTACCCCTATTTTCATATTACTTTCATCTTACGAATGTCACGATATCGCTTTCGCGGATTTAACGACTAGCATAGCGATCGACGTTTTAAACCAACGTTTCGATAACGATTTTTAATCCTCGTATAAATTAATACTTGACCCGCAAGCTTATTTTATGATACAGAACGAATTAATCAGCAGTCTCTCGTTTTATTCGTTTCGTTGGAATCATTGTTTCGTTTCGCATCGTCAGATTCTTCGTTGAAGCCGCTGTTTTGATGAACGTTACCCTTCTTGGTCCAGGAATTGGCGTTCCCCGGGCCACCGATCACGAAAATAAAAGGACACTTTTGGTCCTTCGAGTGGGACTTCAAGTCTTGCGAAGAATTCGACTCGTAAATAACCGGCTGATAGCCGTTAACGTTTCCCGTGGAATCGTACACGCTGACGTCGCTGGGCTTTCCGTTGTAACTGTCCTCGCAATCCCGCGAGATCGTGGTGGAGGACTCGTTCGTGGATCGATAGATCTCCTTGCTCGAGTCGGTGGAACCGTACATCTTCCCTTGGTCAGAGTTTCCGGCGAGCCTCAACAAATTTTTCCTGTGAGAGAGCAACGTGCGGTCCAGGGTCATGAAAGGCATCTCGAAACAGAGGCTCCAGAGGGCGGAGAACATCATCGTGAGGCACAGGTTGCTGCAGAAGCTACGAAACTGCAAGGCACGCGCAAGTTTTCTCGATTGAGTACACAATTGCCATGGAAATTTTGTGCCGGTGATCTCAAAGTGTCTTCTCAGACTGTTGCTGATGACTCGAATCTCAGGTACTTACGACCGACATGCTAGAAATTATTCCAGGCGTTCGAACCGACCCCTGTTGCATGAGCAGAAAGATGTAGTGGCACAGGTAGGCACTGTAGGTCAATCTACCGAAGGGAACCCATCCTCTCCACGAGAGAAATTGATCCAGGAAACCTTAAACGACGATGGACAATTAAAAACGTTCGACGAGTTGTACAGGGACGATGCATTTAAATCGAAGTTACCAGCGTAACCGTGAACACAGCAGAAAATGATCCAAGAAACGGAAAGGACGAAGATTTGCCTATGGAAGCCCGCGTAGAAGCTCGCTTCGAACTTGTTGTAGAGGTGATCGTCGAAGTACATCCATCGAGGTTCGATAACCATGAACAAACCGGACACAGCAGCGACCAACCAGCCAAGGATCACGTAAATCTGTGGAATGTTGTCAATTGCAGACTATTGAAACGTTAAAATACATTCGATAAAATGTATTTACCGAACGTATTTTCACAACTCGCGTTCGTGTCTTGTACAGAATGTAACCCAGAGCCAATCCTATTAAGTAAGACCCGTATCTATTGTAAACCTTTGTGTAAATTTGCACGTAAACTTCGGCCAGGGAGCTAGAGAAAAGAATATATTAAATTAATTCGATTATATCCTTCGTTAAACTCAAGTTTACGTTTATTTATACAATATTTCGTCAGTCTTCGATCGTTCCAATTTTATTTAATAAAACAACAGGACGATTCGTGTAAGGATATGGCGGAGTTACGAACGATGAATGGATCGCGGTTCAGAATGAACGATGTGGAGAAATCAGTGATCGCGTACGAAATAAATCAGACGTTACGAGCACCCGAGAAGGTCTTAGAAAGGATGAGGCGAAGATGGAACGTTTCACGAATTTCAACACTTACTCCTTGTAATAAAGCATGGTTCCTGGTAGCCCCAACACGTATGTTATGAAAAATGGTACGAGGACGGAGATAACGATGCCCGAGGCGACGACGAGCCAAAAGACTTTTTGGGTGAACCGGAGCATAGGGTACAAGAAAATCGGAGACAACCAGACGAGTTGCATGTCGGTCGCTAAGTACCAAGACTGAGACAAGCACTAAAAATGAAAGAAGGAAGTTATTAAATAAATAAACTTGACCAATTTTTAATGGAGAGTGTAAGCCACGTAAGATGATATCGTTCGTATACGCACTATTTTTTCTAGATTAACGTAATTGTTAACGTAGAGAAGGTTCGTCCACCAATTCTCCCGGCAGAAGTCCCTATTTTGGCCGACCGTTTGGTCCCACTCCGGTCCGGTTCCAAGTTTGTAGAAAAGAGTAGCGTAAAAGCCAATCATCATCGCGTACGCCGGTGTCAGTCTAATGTAACGATGAAGATAAAGACCGATCACGTTGAAACTCCCTCGCAGATTCTTTTCGTCCTTTGCCATCGCCGTGTAGGCCATCAGGACGCCGCTTAAGAGGAAAAACGTGTCGGTGACCATGTTCGCGTTCAACAGCAGCATGTTGCCCCAATTCAAGTGCAGCTTAAATTATATCAAGTATAGCGCTCTGATTAGCACCGAGGAAATGTTTCGTAAATGTTCTATAATAATATGTACTTATGGCGATACGTCGATCTTCGGCATCACCGTTTGGGAACGCTTTCGGAGTGAAACAAAATATTTTACGAACTCCCAGGATTGTTTTACTTACGGATGGGATCTCGTTGAGGTTTATTTTAACGCTGACGACCTCGGAATAGAACGTGTGACCGTAGATTATCCAACAAATGCTTAAGTAACGCAATCCGTCGAGACATCGAATAGAATCTCTGTGTCTGTCCGTTCTCAACAGATTTCTCCCGTTCGTGTAGACGGAGAACGCAGTCAATAGAACGTGACGCGTACCTGAACAGACGCAATAAATTTTATTAAGCTGAAATTACTTGGGAGTCTTCGAGGAGCAACGACAAGTTAATAATCAAGCAATGCGGAAGAATTATACCGCTTATTAAATAAACAATGTTTCAGCAAAGATAGTTTGTTTCTTTCCTCGTTGAACGACCCTCGTATCAGATTGTAAATCGTTACGAATCGATAAACGCTTTCAAAGAAACAGCTCTCGACGCTTATCGGGCCCGATCGAGTATCGTTATCGGGTCGCGTTATCGATCTTTTCCTGATACTGTCAAGGAATCGATAAGTCGAACCGAGCAGGACTTTGCGCGGAATTATCGTTTACGCAACAAGAACGAGTAACCCACCTTTTCGGTTCAACGCGCTCAAACGGCCTTGCTTGGCGATGTCGTAACTTGTGCTGGCGATAATGATCACCGCGAATGTCGCGAGGATCGATCTGAAATTCAACACGACCTATATGTTAAAAGGAGTTTCGCAAAACGATTGCGTGTCGAGCAACGCGAAAGCTTATTTTAAGCGAACGCGCGAAACTTTTTTCAACCACGAGGCGCTCGAGGCTTTCGAAAAAAGCGACTCGGCAGCGTACAAAATATGGGATCTAGTACCGAAATAAATTGATGCTATTTCCAGTGTACGCAGAGAAGATAAAAATCGTTGGATCGACCTTCTCCGGTCGTGGGTCGCGAAAAACTTGAATGAAAACCGACAACATTTGTCGTAAGATCATTCGATTGCGTAAACTGTCATTGGACGTTGTTCAAAATAGTTCTTGGACCGTTTGTTTAAATAACATTATCGCACGGTGAACTGTTCGACGGCTTAAAAACTGTTTACACTGCGCGAACTAGATACATAAATGGCAAACAACGCATGTTTTAATCAATTGGAGCTCATCGATTTCTTCCTCGTCGAACGCAATTCGATCGGCGTATTTTATGCGTAATTAAAAATGTCGTGCAAGGTGTTTCGATGGCGAGTTTGGCCTTGCCTTGGATGGCTCGAGCAAACAACGGTGCGGTCGCTGTTGCATTTCTTACAAAAACTACGAATCTTGTAATCCGATAAGGATATTTACATGTAGATCCAGTCGGTTGCGTCGAACACTGGTTGATCCGATTCTGCGGTGTGACAAGAGTTCTCTGGAACGTTAACCGCGACATCCACTCGACCTTTCACCTTAAGAGAGTCGAGGACAGTCCCCAACGCAGTCTGCATTTCCGTCTGGTTACAGGTCGAAGGGATGCACCACATCCACTCGTAGGTCACCGTTTTCCCGTATGACCATTTTGTACCCTAAACGAATGCATCATTTCGTAGTTTCGGATTAATATAATTAATAAACTGCTCGATAAAACGTTAATAGCACCGCCTAAAATCCGATGACACAAGTTCTCTTGTGTTTCAGACTCCCAAGACGCGCGCGCGCGTGCACCGAATGAGTCGATAAGGATAATCATTAACAAGATCGTTCGTTGATAACGTTACCGAACAATGACCGATAAGGTATTAAATGAATCCGGGTTCAGACGCGTTATCGCGATAAAAAACAAAATGATTTATCACTCCGTTTGACAGAAGAACAATTCGTTTAAGACAGTCGAATATCTTTTTTTTTCTTTCTAATCGATTTTTTAAGGATCTCGACACGAATATTTTTCACGCCTTTTATTGAGAATTAGGTTTATCTTAAATTAACAGTGAAAAGCAAATGGTTAAGGATGTATGGAGAGTTGCTGAATTTTTGATATTCGATTACAGCTGTTCCACCTGGATGATTCGATGAAAATTCACTCACCGACGCGACGGCCATATTGAATAACAGATCGCCCAGATCGCGATCCCGAGGTTCACCGGTGTCCTTCGCAATGTCGAAATGTACCATGGCGGTGCAGGCCTTCCCGGTAAATCCGTGTCCGCTTCTCACACGCAGACACTCGTCGTAATTGCCTAGCAGCTTGTAATTACCCGTGATTATACCCGCTGGAATTTTCACGGACGAGTCGTACACTGGAATTCAGAGGAAGGTCTATGCACTTTTCTTCCAACTACTCTTTATTCTTTGCCTTCTAATTCAACGATTAAACGTTACTGTTTCAACCACGCAGTAGACAGATAGATGTTTCGATGGAGTCTTCGAGGGTTGTATCGTATTTAAATTCTCAAAAAACTACAGAATGCACTTAACGTAAGAATTACTTAAAGCTAGATACGAGTTATTATACTATATGTTTAGGGGTCGAGGCAACCCTCTACAAAGCTTCCGTTTCATTAATTTTATTAATAAAAATATGAATTTGCATAGAGATCCACAGTCTAATTATCGGTAATAATTAAACGCAAACCCGAACTTGTAAATGAAACGAAGCAGGATCGATCGAGCGTCCAATGTCGGATCGTTAGTCGATGATCGTCGATACCGAACGGAATTCGATTTTAATATTGAAAATTGGCGATTTCTCGCGAATATACGCACACGCGTTGCTATCGCGTTGGCATTTAATAGTCGTTCACGCTTTATAACAAATCGGATGGAACCGGTTGACGTGCGTACGCGAACAGCCGATGCGTCAAGGAGTTCTTCTGCCCTCAATCTTCTCGACGATAACGACTCTTGGTATTTTGAGAGAAAATCTTTTTCAATATTTTCACCGCGATAAGCTCGTAGAAAGCAGAATTTTTTCGAAAACCATGACGATCGATCGTTTCGCTCAGAAATTTCGCGATATATTTCTGATCTCTCAGTGGACTTGCATACCATTAGTTACGTTTCTCCAGCCTTCGTTCATTGTGCAATTTCAATAAATTTTAAACCGAACATAAAAAATCTCTTTTCATATTTGAGATTGAAGCCCGGCAGTGTCGATTATGACGTGTCAAGGTCAATCCTTGGAGTACTCTTCTCCATTGCAATGTCATATCTGCGAGCATGTTGTACGTTCTCTGTTTAAAAAACAAAGAGGGAAGTCGTATTGAGAGAGAGAGAACAATTAATTCTTTATCCTGTCTACGATCGCCAGAACACAATACAAGCGCCGTATTTAACGAGCCTCGAAATAAAGATACGCGTATGGAAGAAAACGTTTAAGATAATCCATAACAATAATTTACTTACGAACCTCAACGACGATACAGAAATAAATGCTGCGGCAAACGTTAGATTAAGTAATGCACGATTGTCTAAAAATAAAATGTTAAACGCGTGGAAACGAATTTACGATGGCCGCGAAACCATCGATAATTCGTATCGTGCGGTAGACACGAACGGCAACATGTGTACGGAAGTGCAAACGAGCGCGAGATACGCGCGCATCGTGTGATAATATTAATTAAAAATGGGTGAAAGTACATATTTCAAGCTCGCAAGCCCTAAAGCTGCAACTTTTGCACCGTTCGCGAAATGTTAAAAAATTCTGGCGGAGAACTGAATCGTTTTACAGCGTCGTAAACCTTGTCGATTTGTACAACGCGTAAGATCGACAGTTAAGACTTTGTCCGCAGATAACACTTTGTTTTTTTCTTGTTTCAAGGCAAGTGAAATTTTAAGAATATTCCTACAAGATCTTTTTCAATAACGAGAAGGGCAGAGGTCGAGAGAAATTCAGATGTTTTCGGATGTTTGGTAACGTATAGATAGTTGACCTATGAGAAACCGTGGTAATTCTTTTACAAATGTCTGCAAGGTTTCTGTTATGCCTGCCGAAATGTCATCCCGTAAATAAATGAATATGTAAATCTTGGAGCGCATAGTTCTCTATTTCCTCGAAACGACCGACGATTGAAAATTATCCATATAATCGAGGAACGCGTGTCGTTGTGATCCAAGACCCGCCGTTCAACGTGTCTTTTACCTCGTTTATGGACCTTGATATCGTTCACTAGCAGGATTATTATTGACCTTCGCTCGAGTCACCCGGCACCGATACAGTTTCATTATTTCTGGAGCACGATTTTTCACGGCGCATGGATTTCGATAAAATATTGCTACGCATCGTTCTATCATTCCACTTTGACTCTATTATCGAGCGGACGGTCTTATGGTCTTGTTTAGTGCACCGACGGCAGACGTTTCTCGTTCTACTCGTCGTGGAAATTATATTTGTTTACGAGCGAAAAAAGTCGTGTCACCCATGGTTCAACCTACTCTGAAATATTTCTCTTCTCGATGAACGATTATACTCGCAATTTATAAGAGCAGACTCGCGAAAAATCAACGCGTCAGCCGTCCAGTTCCATTCGACGCCGATAGAAAATTTTCCTCCGGTTCGTCAATCGGAAAAAAAAGATCCTCGCGCGCGATACATGGATCGCTCTCGGTCGTCATGGATGAAGATATCGACGGTGGAGCAAACGAACTCGTGACCTTAGAATGCTTAATCCGTTGTAAACGCACGTCCTAGTAAATCAACGATTCCCAACGCGGTATTGTTAACCTTTGGTATTTCGTCGGTCGAAAAACTAAAGTCCGAATGTCAGGTAAAAAAGAACGACGCGCTCGTAACTGTCATCAATCACTATTATAAAATCTCGTCGCTGATATTTGTTACGTTAACGTTCGTAGTTCCGCGGTCCCTACGTTTCAATATTTAAGTAAACGCTTGGCGTTCGATTTTGGAATAAAAACGAAAAAAAATAACTGCACGCAACCAGCCTTGAACTGCACGATGACGCGTACTCGGCCCGTCCTCGATTTTTACTGCGGAGTTTCGCAAAAACAATTCCCGGGCCGCGACCAGAACCGTTCGCTTCGTGGAAATGGAACAAAGCGTGCCGATAATAAAAAAAAATAATATCGATAGAAACCCAGCCATCGTCGCTAAATAATTTTAACATTCTGATTCCCGTCGTTGGTCAACGGGAAGCATCGAATAGCTGCCAAAGGCACGTATTTATTGGACGATGCAGGATTTTTCAGACTCGCGTTTATCACATTTTACTCTGTTACTTTCGAAAAAAGAAAAATCGCTGTGCCAGCTGACTAAATGTTACATAACGTGTATTTTTGTGTGTCGATGATAAGAAATTACTTTGCAATTACTTTTTTCTTTTTTACCAATCCAACTGTTTTTACGCGAGAAAATGTTTCTCGCCGAGAAGGAACGTAAATTCGACGTAACTTTTAGCGATATTTCGATAACTCGTGTTTACGCGGGAAGATAGTTTTATCTCGGTTTCTGTAACTAACAATAAGTAGAAACGCAAGCTAATCCGTGTAACATGATGTAAACAGAGTCTACAATCGTGCCCCTAGAACTGTATTTAAGATCAGTATACGAGAGTATCGATACTCTTATTTTTTTTTTCCACAATATCTCGAAATGCATTTTAGAAAAACGAATTTGTCGTGTATTATCGTCGGCACTGTGTAGATACTATGAGACCACCAATAAACAATTACGAATAATTTCACGCGTTTATTTATCAATCGTACGTTGATCGAATTTGTTCCGACATCATAAAACGTATCGAAACAATTAGGCCAACGCGTGTTCACAACGACCTACTTGAATAAGTTCAGCATAAATACAGATAACGGTGACGATAGTAATAATGTCGACTTCCTTATGTTACACATAATAATAACGATAGCAATAATATCGACTTCCTTATGTTGCAGACGATAGCACGGGGAACCCGTATCGATGGAAAAAAAGAAATCTAACACAAACAGTGCAGCGCAATAGCGTCAGAGATCCGATAGAAATGGATGTCAGAAAACATAGGCCTGACGCGTAATCGGTCACTATGGCAAAAATGAGAGTCGAGGAGATAATATTAAAACTAGCTAGAGATTCGTCGAAATATCGGTGTCCTTGTCGTTGGTTCTGCTAGCCATTAATGGCATCAAAGTCAATGTAAAACTCGTGCGATCAGAATTTTACTTTGCCGCGATATCGTAAATATGTATGTAACAATAACAAGATTATAGAACAACGTATCGAAACAATGGCTCTCTGGTAAACGGAAAACAATAACATAAAGTTACTCTTGCCCGGTGCCCCTCTCATTGAAAAAGCTGATAAGGAAATTGCAATTACCTAACCCGTACCGTATGCAAGAAAAGTAAACATACGTGTTGTTAACTTTCGAATGGATTTTTATCAACGGGTAAACTTGTACTTAATATTCTACTGCGCGTTAAAGGTAAAAATTAGCGACGTCGAATCGATGGTTTCATTATCGCGGTTCCATAAACGGATAATAAAATCGGTAGCGACAAAAAACTTGTCGAAACAGCATTCTCCTGATCGTAAGACGTTCACTCGTTCGCGAATTATTTGCAGTCTGTTATTAAGTACCGCAAGGTTGGTCCCCTCGCGTTCGCGCGTAAAAACTCTTCGATCGTTGTTGATAAAATTGGAGAATAATAAAACCGATCGAACAACGCGTCGAGATTGAGATGCACGGCCTTGGGGATTCATCATCCTGGGAAAAAAAGGAAAAATCAACGGGAGAATTTGCACGCGTCACGTAACACGTTCGAAATTTTCCTCTTTCGGGTTCCCCCGTTTTCCTTCCCGTGCATCCTCCGGACAGGTTTATTCCACGTGGCGATTTGAACTGCCTCTGCAATTCGTTTATTTCGCTACGCGACGCCGGAGACAATTTGTCGAACCGTTGGCAAAATAAATGGACGGTCGATCGATGAAAAAACGTGTCGAGATAGTGTGACGGATTCGGTTATAGCGTGTTTTATTGCCATTTGTACGCTGATGTAACCCTGCAGATGTAATTGTCTAATTGTTTCACATTTTCTAAACGACCGTATTCGTTGCGGCATCGATTATTTTTTCTTTTAAAAGCTTTGGTAAATCGTTGCCTCGAATATTAAAATACAAAGATTAAGGAGGATCGAGAAAAACGTAGCTTCGCCAGGTGATCGAGCAACACACTGACACCGACGCGCATCGCGATCACAGGTGATTGGATTAATTTCCCACCGATTGAATCACGCCTTTAATTTGGATTATAACGCGTTGCTAATACTTGAACGTACAGAAGCATATAATTATTATTGTCGATGAACGTCTCGTGTATTTCGTAGTGACAAATGAAATTTGGAATTTTCTTGCAATAAAAATTCGACGAAGTTAAATCGAAGCCTAGTAAAAATTGCATTCGACGAAGTCGAGCTTCGGTCGGTTAGCAGTATCTGCAATGTTTACAAAACGAAATCGTGTATCGAGAAGTTGTTTACGCCATTCACTGATAAATTTTAATTCTTTGTGGTAGGTCTCGGACAAATATTCTTGGTTCACGTAAATAGATATGTTTGCACCAATGAAAGCGTATTGTATCTTCTTTCGCGTTATTGTTTCTTTTACCTACAAGGAAGGAAAGTATTATCCAACGATCGTTAAGCTCTCAACCCCGACGAAATATACACGGCTGAAGGGAATTTCTTGGATGTACTTTTGATATAGTCGATCGAAATTAGTAAAACGAACAATTGTCAAATACAAGAGCGACGCGCCGGACAATCACGCGCGAATAGATCCACAAACAGATCGCCTAAAACGGTATTTTTACGGCGACGATTTCTATTGCTCGCTTTCTATTTTGAAGTAGCTATTAGTACAAGGTTCACTGACCCGCGAAACCAATTGAGCAATCCACGAAACCGAGTCCGGCTTCGTCATTCATCGTACAAGACACAAACGCGTTCTAAAAAGCTCTCGACTATTGTTCAAGCAAAACAACGAACATTCGCTCCGCGCGTCTTAGATCTGCGTGAAAATTTTTTTGCAGACGACGTGTAAGTATCTTGGAATTTTCTGAGTGCATCTGATAACGAGAAGCATCGAGAATCGCAATTGCAAGCTTGCAACACATTTGCAATGGACCTCGAACTTGCCCGATAATTCGGTCAACAAATTCGTGATGCTATTAGAGTCGCGAACGCGATGCGTCTAGCCATTTTGATCCGCGATACGGAGAGATCGACGCGATCTTTTCCCCCCAAGAACCACGCATCTCGACTCCTGCCGCCGCTCGACTGAGATTCGAGCAACAAAATAACGTTTCGCTTTTAAACGTTCGAGCACCAGCACCTTTGCGTTCTATAATCGCGGACAGAAATATCTAAAGTTGATCAAAGAAGGAGACGAACGTTTATCTGAAAACACAAATTTCTGTTCCATTTCATCCAAGTCTTTTATATCTCGCCAGATGGCCAGAGATCAAAAATTTGTGTCAACGGTTTCGTCTAAATCAGCCATTCTCTTTCGCGATAAAACGCACAATGTTATCAAAATTCAAGATAATGCATAAGCCAAACGATAATTCGGTACACGGTGTAACCAACGAGCATTCGAGTATTGGTTAAATCGTGTTATATTGTCGCTACATACTAATTTCAGACCTCGAGAACGATACATTTGCTTCTAATCTATAAGCCGTCGATCCCTCTTTTTGCTATGAATCGCGTTTCATTCTTCAAAACATGTATAAACATTATGCTTGCGGTAACTGTATGCAATATAAAATTAAAGATAACATCGAGAAAACCTAAGCAACAATTAACTTTCCATGAATATGCATACGTTAGAATCGCTTATGTTATTAGTATTACGTAGAGTTTGGTAACATTACTCATATTCGATACGTTCGACACGCCGTTGTCACGTGTACGTGATTTTCTCTGTATCACATCGTCGACGAATACAAAACACCAACGATCGTTAAATAATAACAAACGAAAAGACTACCGGTGGCAGACGGCGTTAAGTTTAGCCAAGAGGATAATAGGTAAAAACGAGATGCGGTAGGTAGACTTACTCTGAAGAGCCCAGGGCGCGAATCGAGAGACTTCCGTCAAGTAAATCGCGCTATCTGTGAGGCACTGCTCGGACGCATTGCCAGAGGGTGCAAAGGGTCTCGCGAGGAAGTCGAGGAGCACGGTTTCCGGCTGACGAGCGTCGACGAATTGTCTGGAGAACGCGGCGAGAAGAACAAAAGATAGAAGACGGCGGTTTAAAGGTCGTTCGAAGGCAGGAGAACGCATCGTAGTCGTGGACGGTGGGACGCGTGTCGTTTAGGGCCGAAGCACGTGGCGGTTGCGCGGTCACGTGTCCACTGGTGGGCTAGGTGTGCACGCGTAAAAGTACCGGCAAGTACGAGACGTCAAAACGTGAACTGTACGTTCTGTCAATCGCTGGTGCATTTATATATTACCGGAGGCGCTGGCACGATGATGGGGGTAAGAGCATTCGACTCCGATGGGCACCTCTTATCGATGCGACCGAGGATTACGCGCCGCGCGTAATGTGTCGTCTTCTCCTCTCGGCGGAGGAGAAGTGGGAGCGCGTATGCGACACCGTGGCAGGAATTCGACGATCGGGAAGATCGAACGGATCTCTCGCCGCGTGAGAAACGACCACGACGACTAACAGGGTCTCTCCTTGGCTCCTCTTCGATCGACTATTTCCGCGGATATCCGTTTATCGACCAGCCGCGTTTTCCGCCACGGTCTCCTTCGTTCGTTACACGCTCTCGCCATTCTCGCATTACTATGCCATCACCCTCGCTTACATCACCACCTGCCTTTTCGATACACAACCCGTATAATTCCTTACAGAATTAAAAACTAAATCGTGTCTACCGAGCCTGTAACGTTGTATCCTTTTCTCGTTCTACGGTCATTTTAAAGCAGCAACGGTAGGCCCCTGAGGGATATTAAAACAATTTACAGCGGCGACGCGCGTACCAGGGTATTCGTTAAGTCCAAACACAAGTTCGTAGCATTTTCTAACTGAAATCCAAACAAAATTTGTAAATATTTATAGATATAGTTATTCTATTATATATTTACCATACTCGTTCCGTAAACAGACAATGGCGAAACCAATCGTTAAATTTAGACATCATCCTCCACCAACATATTATGTATATGTATTAGCGGACAGTAACTTTCTACTTAACCAGTTAAGTGTGTTCGACGACTATATCCGCCATGCGTAAAATTTTGTTACAATTTGATATTTGAATTGTAATTTTGGCGAGAACTAAATTATATTCGTAAATTTTAATATGTTTAAAATGTTTAGAGGTAAAGACGAAATGAAACAAGTAAATAAAAATTATAAATAATTAATATAAAAAAAACCGCATATACTACGAATTAGTTTTCGTAAATGTATCGTTGTCTTTTATTGGTCATCACAGAAGCAATTACGGATTCATATATTCATTACGCATTGTACCATGCTTTTTTTTTCGTTCATATGCAAAATATTTACGTTAATTTAAGTAAATAAATAAATGTGAGTAGTGAAATAAAAAAAATAAAAGTCATTTTATTACAACCTAATTTCATATTGCACATACTCTGTGTTTCACGACTATACCCGTCATCGCTTGATTATTGCGACGCACACTGGTGCGCGCTTTGCAAAGAGATCGCCACAGTTGACCGGTTAATTTGTTTGGATCGTGGTTAGGGTTAAAATGCAATCGTAACGTCGATAATATTAGTAATATTTTTGTTTAATCGATAGCAGCGTTAAAACTATATTTTAAGTTTAATTTCATACCTATGTGAAAAATAATTATCGTACAATTTTGATCCGTCGGTTGCTGTTTATTTTTCAATTACTAGCCAAATAATAATATTTCATTTCAACGATTGCACGAATAAGGCTCACGTTGAGCAACACTTCGACTCGGAGCTACCGGATTATTTTCACACACTACAGACCGTGATTCTCGGCGACCGTAATACCTCATTAACGATACAGATTCGGCTATCACGATGAGAAAGTTGAAAACGGGTCGATTCATTGACGGTGAAGGCATATCATTTTTGGTAACACACATTTTAAATAAAAATAATTACTCAAAACGGTCGAAGTATTTGTACCGCGCCGCAGTAAATATAAATCGCTACGACAAGCAACAATGACATATATACATATTTTCATATAAAATCAAGTTACTCTAAAAGTCTTCCAATTTGGGGTCAACTTATGCAATTACTGTACACGTAAAATCGCCATTCTACGGAGGATTAATGTTTCAGCGTTTAATTTATTTCTTATTCATACGCATTATCACATTGAAATAAAATTGAATAATAAAATAATATTAATACAAACATGTTGGAATTTCAATATTCCAAGACAAAAAGATAATTAGTATAATAGATTTGTGCCTTTACAAAATAATTGTATTTTAGTAATTTTATAATTCATTTTAAGCATAAAAATGATAATAATTCAAAACTGTATTATATTAATCTTTTTGATTGTCGAAGTAACGATAACGAGAGAACCTCTTGATAGACGGATTATTGGAAAATAATAACGTAAATCTATTAACTGTAATTAACGAAGTAAATGAGCGTCCAACTAGTTTAAAATGCAACATAACGTAAAATAATTAAATGCTTTCATTTTTGTATACAACAATGCATTATGTAACATCAATATCTGTGAATGCGTAATTCGAAAGACAGGCTTCCAAAAGGATAGATACTGAAAACAAATTACTGTCGCATCAAAACCATATTTTTAATACGATAACTAGAATTAATAATACTAGAGATTATTAATTTAATTCCCATTTATTCTATTCTAAATTTGTACAATAAATGTATTCGAAATAGAAATCATTAGTAGGGGTGTGCGAGATCCCGATCGGGACGGGAATTTTTCTCGAGATCGGGATGGAATCCTGAGAATTTCGAAATCCCAAAAACATCCGTGATTCCCTCGAATTTCAAAATCCCGAAAACATCTGTAATTCCCGACATTTTAAGTTTCTCCATACTCCCAACAATTACCAGAATCCGAAAGCCATTGTGTTCTCGAAGATTACATATCTTATTAATCGGGAATGTTTATGTTAGTAATATTGTAGAAAGTAATTGCAAATTTCGATAATTCTGACAATGCAGAATTTTAATATCGGTAGATATTTCTGAACGGATAGTCAATCGCACAATTGTGTTCCGAGAATTCCAGATATTATTCTATATCCCGTACATTGTCGGGAATCCCGCACACCCCTAATCATTAGACAATTGGACACATAATCAAATAATTCTGTATTTTTCTATGTAACTTTCACATCAATCGGTTGTGATAATATACAATAAACAATATGCTATCCATACTAAGTAAATTAAGATTATGTACCTTCGGACTAAATCTATACAATATTTGTATAAATGTTATTAAATACAATAAAAAGCATTTATTTTACATCTATAAAGAAAATTTGTTTCGCAAAATATATATGTATTTTGTAATAAAATGTAATTAGGTATAAATGGAATAAATCTCTGATCTCCTTTAGACCATTTGAGTTAATAATTTCACTAGTTACATCACCAACCAATCTTAGATAAAATTTCTTCAGCATTTTTAAAAACTTCTTTGGGTGAAAGCATACCGTTTAGTCTATAAACCATGTTCTGTTTCTCAAAATGATCGATTATAGGCAATGTATTTTTTATATAAGTTTCGTGTCTTTTCACTAAAACTTCCTTGTTATCGTCGGTTCGTCCACTTCCACCAGCCCCACGTTTCAAGCATCGTTCTGTGCATACTTCCTCATTACATTCGCAAAATAATACCCCTTTCACGATGCATTTATCAGACATTGCCTAACAACAGAGTATATTAGAATATATAGCAAGGGGACATCAACCGTTAGATGTTACTTCTAAACGTCTACTTTCATTGCCTTTAAAAATGCAATAATTATTTGTGATAATATAAAATACACTTTAAAACTGGTTACAGTAACTTTATTACAGCATACCTTGTACCATCCATCAACGTTATCCTGATTTCGCGGGAAACCGTCGATCAGATATCTTTTATGAGGACTATCGGATGATTGCATTCCACGTTCTAAAAGAGTACAAGTGATCGCAACGGGTACGATCGACCCAGCCCTAATATGATTTTCGATAAGTTCACCATATTCTGAGTCTGGCTTTGTACGTTGCTCTCTTAACAAATCACCAGCTGACAAATGTACATAACCATATTTTTTTGCGATATGATAACACAAGGTACCTTTACCAGCACCCGGACCACCCAAAATAAATAAAACCTCAAATTTCTGGGTTGAGGACATTATAAAAAGTTGTAGCCCAGCTGTGAGTACCTTAAACATAAAATATCACTATTTAGTTTACACGATACACATTAATTACAAATTGTTTGAATAAAGGCCTCAAAGCATTATGGCGCCATTTTCGTACAGAGCTTGTATGAAAATGCAACCAATTAAACTTAGATACACAACGGGTGGCTCCCTCTCTCCTAATGAATTAGTCTTTTAAGTCTCATTTTCACATGGCAATAAAAGTCATGTCTTTTGCCATCTTCGAAGTTCATGTCATCATCAAATGTGTACAATTGTTGTCGTTGAACAACGGCGTTATAATTTACCTAGTCTTGTATTGCAGTACAATATCACAGCCGACTTCAGTACTAATCATACTGAACGAGAAACAGCAAAACCGCGAGAATCTGATTTTGTACTTAATAGGAATATGCAGCATTTGTGTGCTCTGTATATCCAGTGCAAAATCGAATTCCCGCAGTTTTACTGCCTCTTGCTCAACATGGCTCGTAAGTACTAAAACCGGCTATGTCTAACAACAAAGCCATGGTACGGACACTGGAAGCAGTTGTGTAAACTTTGAAGTTGTATACATAATCGATGATAAATCAAATGTAATGAGTTTATTTTAAAGCGATTTCTCTTTAAATAATAATTTATCATTTGCTACTTACATATGTACCTACAATAATCAATAAAAATAACATAGATTTAACCACATATACTACCCAACACATACATATCTACCTCGTCGACCCTTACAATCCATCTGGTTTCGTTCAAAGAGAGCGTGTAACTACATATTTTCAAAATCTACTAGATTTTTCACGAAATGTTGTACATATAAAATATGTTTTTTAAATTACTTACTTATTATTTATGTATCTTATTTTTATACGCATATATATAAGCACAGATACGTCGAAGATTCAAGTTATGACTGCTAAAAATTTTTTCTTGCTATTCCTTATCAAACTTATGATACAAAGTTCTTTCAAGCACTGACATATCAAAACGTAATTAAAAACTGCGCATGTCATATTATTACGCAACCGTGACATGCATGTGATGCATGTAGTCTGCTTAGTTTTAAGTTCTACTGTAAAGCAACCACATGAACTTGTGGTACAATTTACTGGATCAATTACATAATGCAATTAAATAATATACAATGATTTAGGAGTTGCAATTGACAACTTGTTATCAATAATATATGTACAACTATACATAACAATTTTGTCTTTATCACGTAATGAATTGAATTGAATGAAGTTGAGGTTACATCAAACTCATGGTTATTAATAACAAAAGATAAGACACGGAACAATGATAATAGTAGGAAGGTGTCAACGATTGATAGGATTCGGAAAACTTTTTACATCCTACTTTAGTCAAAAATATTGTGTTGTTAACCAATTATCCTCTCACATCACAGTTCATACTTCATCTTTTACATATAACATAAAACATAAAACTAAAAGTAATCATGCACCGATCCAGAATACATTGGATGCTGTTGAAATCTTACCAAAGACAAAGAATGAAAGAAAACAAACAGCAACATTTATTTCAAAGATAATTGATAATTCTCCCCCTAAGGTACAACCATACTTGAAACTATTAAGAATGGATAAACCAATAGGTGAGATAATATACAACTATAAGTATATTGTAGAATTAATTATAATATAATTATGCCACCTTACTAAAAAAAGTAATTTGAAATGCTTCTAATTTATATATACAGGTTCATGGTTATTGTTTTGGCCTTGTGGTTGGAGCATAGCCATGGCGGCACCACCAGGTGCATTCCCAGATATCCAACTTTTGCTACTTTTTGGAATGGGCGCATTCATCATGCGTGGAGCGGGATGCATTATAAATGATATGTGGGATCAAGATATCGATGGGATGGTAATACTAACTTGAAAAATATTTTAATATTAGATATTATGAAATCTTTTTAATGCTAGGTAGCCAGAACAAAAGATAGACCATTGGTTACGGGAGAAATTTCACCTCTACAATCGCTTGTTTTCCTTGGAAGTCAATTAACTTTGGGACTGCTTGTGCTGTTACAACTAAATCTTTATAGTATTATATTGGGTGCAAGCTCGCTAGGTATTTTTCTAAACACCAATACAAAACAGTATTTCTTAATTTGATCATCTACTCTCATTAGTAAATTCTCCACAACATAGAATTATAATAATGTACCTAACCCATTCAGGGTTCTTCTTAATTTAATGTAAACCTTTATGCTTTAAATGTCCTTTACGCGTCCATTTATAAAAAAAACTGTTTACACTATCTTATGCTCCCCATAAAACCATTCAATTTATATCTGAAACATTTTTTTGATATTATCAAAAACAAACGAGTTATTCCAGGTGATAAATTAGATGGAACACTCTCTATATGTATATACATTATACACAAAGCGACATGTTACACTCTTTGCAGATAAATTTATTGTACACTACGATATCATATTAATATTCACGTAGGCTAGCTTATGCTATCTCGGTGCTCGGCCACATATTGGGACTGAGCTTCCCCGCGTTCGTTCCGACAGACTTAAGAGGTTTATAGACTAAAATTTAGAAATACTGTTGAAGTAATCATTAAAACATTGTTATATCGTTGAACATTTTTTTATTACAGTTTTAGTGATACTTTACCCCATTATGAAAAGAGTAACATATTGGCCGCAATTGATACTAGGAATGACCTTTAATTGGGGCGCACTTTTGGGTTGGTCTGCTGTACAAGGATCATGCGACTGGTCCGTATGTCTACCTCTTTATACTGCTGGAATTTGTTGGACACTCTTGTATGACACTATATATGCGCATCAGGTACAGTTAAACTACATTCTCATGTTTCTTTTCATTTAATACTTGTCATTTGCATTGCAGGACAAAATAGATGATATTATAATAGGTATAAAATCAACAGCTTTAAAGTTTGAAGATAAGACAAAAATGTATTTGTCTGGATTTAGTTCAGCAATGATAGCAGGGTTAATTACGTCAGGTATATTAACTGCGCAAACTTGGCCGTATTACGGTGCAGTTGGATTGGTCGGTGTTCATCTTGCTAATCAGGTATAATATTACACAGTCTAATTCTTCCGGGATGAGAACAGAACTGCGGCAAAACTATAAGACTAGTACTTACTAGTATTGAATGTGCAATTTTAGTATAAAAATTTTAACATAAATATATTTTTAGATCTACAGCTTGAACATCAATAATCCTGTAGACTGCGCAAAAAAGTTCATGTCTAATCACAGGGTAGGAATGATTCTATTTGCTGGAATTGTATTAGGAAATCTAGTAAAAAATTCTGTGAATGAAAAAGATGGTAATATTAAACAAGAACTGAGGATAGAATCTACTTCCACTAAAAGAAATGAACATTAGTTTCATCACTTTGGTAGGTTATACTTAGATTAATTTACTGAACTGTATATGTTAAAAACAAGAAAATTATGTGGACAACTGGCTGGTTCCAGTAAATTAAAGAAATTAGTTTTGATTATTACGTATATATGTGCCATACAAGAACTTCAATTTGTGGTATTTAGTCCTATGATATTAGTACATTTTTGGAATTATGAATACTATTTCAAAATTGAGAATAAATAAATACTAAAAATATAAACAATTCATATTTGATAAAACATTAACTTTATAATTCAAACGTTACACCAAAGATTACACCATTATACGATAAATAATAACAATTGAAATTAACAGTACATAATGTTAGTTGTAATGACGGAAAAAGTACAAGACGAGTCATTTCTTATCATTTGTGTATTTGTTCTTACCTTAAAAAATGCATATATGTACATTTACCAGAAGTCAAGTAAATCACAATTACGATCATTTTTATACGCGAAATCAACTTACAATGGATAATGTAATTTGATCTTTGTTGGAGTTCAACTGATTAACAGAATTCCCGCGTTCTAAAATCTTAAAGTCATACTGTTTTTGTGTTAACAAAGATTCTTTCATTTTATCCAAGTGTTTTATATTTGGAAGCACTATAGCTAAATAGCCTCCCTTATGTGGAGGCTCCAATAAAAGTTTTGGATTTTGTAATAATGCTTCATTTACTTCTACTAATTTTCCAATTATACAGCATTTTATAGTATATGTTTTTCCATCTGAACAAGTAATTATACAAATATTAGAATTAGCTTGCAAAGGTTGAGCACCATGTTTACTCTTGCCTGAGACTTTATTCAAAACTCTATCTAGTTTTTCGCTAACTTTAAAATCTACTTTTGTTATTTGTACATTGCTCTGTAAAGCTGCATGACTTGGAGCCAAAGTAAGCATACAAATACGATTACTATGCATCAGAATGCAAATATCATCTGTAGTACTTTGTACATCTAATTTGTAATGAGCAGTAAAATATCGATCTGTAATTGTTGGAAACAGTCCATCATATTTCACCCCTTCTAACATGTCTGTAATGTCATTGTCTGGTGGAAATGAAAATAAATGATCATCCTCATCGTTAGTTAGCGACATTCCTTCATCTTCGTTACCAGTTACTTCCATATTTTCTTGATATTCAGAAGTCTTATCAGTATTACTTTCCTCGTGCAAAGTATTTTTACTTTGCAATTGTTCATGTGTAGTAAATAAATTTTCATCCATGACATTGGATGATTTAATTCTTTTTGAAATTGGTTCATTATTAGAATCAACATTCATTTTTGATTATTACAATTTTTGTATAAATAAGTTTTGTAACAAAATGAAGTATCTCTGACTATGTATGCAGTACAAACTAAATTACTTTAAAAAAATTTTCGAAATCAATTTATACCGTACTTTTATTATTTTCTTGTTCTTTTTGAACGATAGCTGTTCTTTTCATCTCTGAAAGTTTTTTATTTTTTGTTCTATTAATTTCTAGCTATAATGAAACATTACGTAATTAGGTATACATTTTAACCTATAAATTGGTTTGCTTGTTTAATATTTTGTAATAAGATAGTTAATTACAGAAACTATTACATAGAATTGCAGTAAAACTTACTTGCCCTTTTATGCACAAAGACATTTGTTTCTCGATGTCGTTGCAGTAACCAAGGAATTTACGATACGGATGCTGTGATCAGGAATAAGACAAAATTTGTAGGTTACTTTCGTGCACAACAAATAAACTGACTACGTGCAATATATATCAACGATTTACCTCGTATTTACAATCTTGATATTTGAAAAATATTTCATTACAAGCAACATTATGAGCTGCTAATGACTTGTACTGTCTCATAATATTAATATATATATTAATGATTACACATTGGTATTATATGTTTGTGAATACGAATACGTTCTTATACAACACATACGATTTCAAGATATTGACTTATGTGGTTATATCATGCGATGTCATAAAAACATAGTTGATTATTATAATTATATTTGATTATTATATTATAGTTTGATTATTAATAATTCGTGTCAAATAGTATTTAATCATCAATATCAATCAAATGATGGCGACAAAACGCACATATTTTTTGTAACTGTCCGAATTGAAAACCGCTTTAATATTTTCCCTACATGGTTTCTTCTTTAGAAATATCCACAGTATGCGTCATTCCATAGAGTATTCGGTAATAAACAAGAATCAGTTAGTTGTTAGCTGGTAGTGGAATTCTTTTTCTTGCGGCTCTTTACGGAAAAGTTTGTTACCCCTGGGTTATACAATAATATTAAAACGATACGTGTAACATGATCAATTAAATTTTTTATTATACACACGTTTATATATAATTATTTTTTATTCAATTGAATTTTATAACAAATTTGGAATTATCAGTATTCATAATAATCTAATATTGTTTTTCTCTAAATGTTCCGTTCGGTCGGCTCGGGTTTTTCCGCTCGTTTATGGTGCCAGATGCGGAAACTTGACTTTGTCGAAAAAGTCATCGAATATTTCGCATCTGGCAAATTTCGTCCTAAATCGTTCAAGCACTTTAACGATCCGAAAGCGCTAGACGCGAGTTGACTACAACGACCATCGCAAACTCGTGGAACAATATAGCCATAAAACGTCTGCAACGCACGTGCAGCTATGCGTCTTAATCCAGAGTCCAGTTTTTTCCACGACAAAATTAACGGGGCCTTCGACTTGGGGGAAAAAACCAGATCGTCCAGGGTGATCTGGGACTTTTTCTCCCCCAAGTCGATGGCCAATTGATAAACCAGAAAAATCAACGCGAATCGATTGGCAAACCCCCAAAATCACGTTTCGGAGGGGGTTCGCGCTGAAGAAGAAACGGACTCCGGAAACTTCGACACTCGTCTTTCGACATTCGAAGTAATCGTTCCAAATCTTCAAGTTCAATTGTTTCGTGAACTCTCATTCCTTAACTTCGAAGAAATCGTTCCGTAAAAATCGCAAGGTTCAATCGTTCATGAACCACTTGTTGTTCGAACATCATTTCGTAAAGGTCATAGTAAATTCAGATTGCGGAATACAGCTTCCGATACTTAGAAAACTTCCGATTATTAGAACTAGCCGCTGAATATTAATTTGGCGAACGACGGTTAGAGGGCTTTACAACCTCTCAGAAATGAAAAGAAATTTCACGCGGCTACCTGGCCAGTACCCGACGCGACGGTACGTTTCACTAAAAGTATTCATTGCTTTAGTATACATATAGTATGAAAGTATATATTAGAATATATGGATTTGAAATATATTATCGAAATTATGTCAATATTTATGAGGAATGGAATCGTAAGAAAAAACGATATGAAAACAAAACCAATATTAAATAATATTTGAATATACATTAATGTATAATAATACGTTAATATATAATAAATAATTTTAAGAACGCCAGCGCTCTTCTGGTAAACAGACTTCATTTAATTTATATATATTTGGTAATTATTAAGCTTTTCTATTGCTTCTAAATTTAAATGGTATTACAATCTATATATTTCACGATATCTTTTTCATAACAAAAATATTAAATCTCTATTCTTAAGCTTCATTCATTGTAAATGTTAGGTTTTGTTTCCGTTATCTCTAACTTCACCATAGAGGTTCTTGACACATCATTATTGCTCTGAGTATAGAGTTGCAGAACTTCTTCTTCGAATGTAGGATCCAATAAAATATCAATGCCTTTCATTCCCGCTTTCATGTAGTTTTGAAATATAATTTTAGACACTTTCCATAAATTTCGATTCTCTTTCAGTACATGGACCAGTGGTTGTACCATTGGAAATAATGTAGAAAGATTACTACGAAACAAAAAAAAAAAGATAACCACATTGATTTTAAATATATTAATTCTGCTTTCTATATATTTGAAATTTACAGAAAGTTGTGCAATAAACTTGGAATTTAATTCTAATCAATCGTATGTGAGGTATACTTACATGAAAAGTGGCAGAACTATATTTGTGATAAATTGAACTTGTAGGTCTGGTATAGATGCCCGTTCTCTATCCATCATTTCAATAGGGGAACTACCCATACTTTTTTCCAAGTCCCCTTGTGAGAAGAATTCATCATAAATTTGTTCCTGACGTAAGATGCAATAAACATGCAATATATAAACTTTTCAAGCGTTTAACGTTTCTATTAGATTGTTATTAATTTTAAATTTAAACTCAATACGAACTTATCGAAATATGAAATTTTACTCACTGCAGTCTTCTTAGAAATTTTCCATTGCTTGGTTTGATCACTAAGGTCACAACATGTCATAAGCATATCGAAGAATAGTTTTTGTTGTTTGGAATCATTTTTATCATACATGTCTCTAATCATCTCTTCTTGTTTTTCTACGGTGCGAAAATGGGATGCTAAATCAGTTGCAAGTATATTGTTTCTTAACAAATCTAATGCCTCACTGTATTCCTTGCTATTAAAATTTTCAAATATATTGCAATCTTCTGTATTTAAAATGCACATGGTCTGTGCCAAATGATGTCTCTGTTGGTTTTTAGAAAAGTTATTTTGTTATAGTAAATTAGATTTTTCGCAGCATTTTCATCTTTAAAGCTATTCAAAGAAAAACCTTTAAAATTGTTCTGGAAAGTTTAATAAAAAGATTTTTCTTTCCATATTATCAACTACATTACAGAAGAACAAAAGATTTACTCTAATAAAAATGTTAATGTACCTCCATCACAGAACCCTCGGAACTGTATAGACTTGCCAATACTGTGCTGCATTTAGTTTGGAACGAATTATTGGTACCTCTATGATCTATATCATGACACAAACAAGACACTAAAAAAACTAATGCTTGCAAATGTGTCATATAATTCTCGGTAATAAGTTGTAAATTTCTCATCAATAAATATGCAAAATGTGCTACAGAGAATGCGTGCACCCAATTATGATAAGGTGCATCTCTGTAGCCCTTCTTAACATACAATATAAACCTGTACACGTGATATAATTTTTGAATTAAAAACGAAAAAAATGAGAGCATTTTAAAAAGTAAACATTTAAATCAATATTTATTACCTAGCTAAAGTTGACAATTTCATTTTCCAATGTTTAATAAGACCCAAATCGTTGAACATTTTGATTGTATAACAGGGTATATGCTTGTAAGGTACACTTCTAGGAGTAAAGTGGAATTTATTGAAATCTTTTATATTATGTTCGTCTTTGCAATTCAATAGCGCTTGCACCATGTCTTCTTCTACCTATAAGTATAATATTTTCTTTAAAACGGTACATTGGAATTTAACTTAAAATTCGTTATGCTTTAATAAAGTTCTACCTTCATATGATACATCATTACTTCATTGCTGAGCTTATTCCTTGCTTGAGCATCTTGCATCTTTTTATAAACAATACTATGCATTATAGATATTCCACAATAAATACTAAATGCTGTTGCAACTTCTTCGTCGAATACATCGAAATATAGGCCATCCTTTTTATTACAGAGTTGTGCAACTCCTACAGCGCAAAATAGTAACAGTACAATTGTTTCTACCCTGTTTCTAATTACATAATTTGAAAATACAGAATATCTTAATTTTGAGTTTATAGTAAATAATAATTAAAATTTTCACTTGCCAACAATTCCATTTTCATCTGTAATTGGGAAACATAAAATATTTCTAGTTCTAAAACCTGTAACTTCGTCTATCCCACGATAAAAAAGAGGATGTTCATATGCATTTCTAATATTAATCAATGTCCCAGTGGTTGCAACATGACCTGCAATACCTTGACCTATCGGTATTCTCATTTCTTTCACAGACTAAAAACAATTAAGTCTTCAACTTTATTTATCACGCTTAAAGTATTGTTTTTAAAACTTAAACTCACTTCTTTCATAGCAATACCATCAAATACTTTAGCAACTAAATCTTGTTGATCAGGATCCAAAAGAAATAATGAACATCGCTCGGCGTTCGTCAAATTTCTTACTTCTGCCATTATTTCCCGTAAAAGATCAGAAAAGTCTCCTGTTTGTTGATATAAAAAATATAATGAATACATTTATTTTTCAGCATTATACTAATTATTCTACTTACAATAAACATTACCTAAATGCGTAAATAGTTTCCTAGAAACAGCCAGTAACTTTTGACACTGGTGTTTCAATCGAGTCTCCTCATAACATGTAAATGAATTTAAAAGAAATCCTAGGCAGAACCTATGTCAAAGAAAAAATTCCTAATTACATCTAAAGAGGATATTTATCATTCATTGAATTTACAGACTTCTTATATTTATTCAAACATTAATTCTTTCAATGTAATAAAAGAAATAATATACCTAAAACATTCTTGAACAATTTCAATACAATTATGGACAGTTCTATTTATGTTATCGTCATTGATCAAAGAAACTATTAATGCTATATGGCTCTGCTTAGGATGTTGTATGGGAATTGTTAAAAATGATTTTGACATTGGACATATTAGTCGAAGATGATACAATAATTCGTCGTCGAGTAAATCTATATCCATGGCTACTGATTTTTTATTTTGTACAGCCTCGTATAAAATATTATTTAACACCTGCAAGAAAAGGTACTTGGAATTATATAGATAAATAAATTTATACGTGTATAGACATTTGCTTAGAATACAGTGAAAAATGGTTGTAATAATATTAATTTCAATTTATATTTAAATCTTACTGGACATATTTTTTATAACAGTATAATTTTTTAACTTTTTATCTATGTATGAAAAATAATAAATCTATAAATCTCCTGTGCCACTTGTAGCTTATCTGAATTATCTTATCAGAAGACAAGATTTTTCATTAATTTTATAGATCAATAAAAGTTGAATGAAATATTATAAATACAGATAATGATATTGGCTAAAATAATGGTATCCAGTATTATTATAGTTGATAACATTTGTTATCAGCTTATAAGGAAACATTTCAATGTTATATCAATAATACCTTTAAATATGGCTTCTTTTATATAGGTTTCTAAGTACTTTGTTTGAGGATTAGGCACTATTAAGGAGACTTTATTTCCAATGTGGGACAATCCTTTAAACTGTATATTACTTTCCAATAAATAAATGTTATTGTAAATATAGTAAAAAGTATATACATATTGCATAACAGACTTATGAAAAGATTTATAAAATTTATAATGGTATCAATGTTAATACAAAATAAAATAAATAATAATTGCTAGTTATAATTAACAATGTACAACAATATACCATCATATTAATTGTTACTTACCGGAAATCTTATTTCTCTGTCCAAAATTTCTTCTCCTATTACATGGATTACCATTTCTTCTGACTTTATTAAAATTGGTACAAGAAAAGATAGTTTTGCATTTGTTACATTTTGTATCTACAACATTAAAAATATAATTAAAATCATATTATATATATTCCTTGTAGTTTTACAAATATTTAAGAACATTTATTGTGTAAAAAAATTTTGTATAAATGTGTACATATATATATACACGTGTGAATGTAATATTACATAATATTTGCTATTACACGTAAAACAAAAAATAATTTTTTCGTTCATATGCATCTTTGCAATAGTTTTTAAATTAAATAACTTTGTCGATAAGTTTTAATATAACTAACGACTAACGACTTTTTCAAAGAGAAGCGTGTGTGCCGCGAAAATTTGTGTACACAAAAATATTGACATTTACTCACGTATTTATTTAACTTTTGCTGCACCTGAGGGTAAGAAAGGTCGCAGAGCTCCTCGAGTAGTAAAAGAATCTTTTCCATGTGCGGCACATTCAAATCGAACGAACTCATTTTCTTTTTATTGCTTTTCAATACTTTTTCATATTACGATAATCGCGAATCGTGTGGCTCGTGATATTGTGATGCATCGATTGCATTCGTTTCAGGAATCATTTTTTAAAAATCTTTTATCTTTTGCAACATATCACGGAACAGTTGTCTTTTAACCACTGCTACCCAATAATTTCCACGCGTATAATAAAGAATACGCATCATTTATTTTTCAAATTTAAACCCAAACGTAGACTGTCAGATCACGAAACAAGAATACTATGTGGAACGTTGCTTCGTGCCTCTGCAGAGGCCTGCATTCTGCGATTCTACTATCATGAATAAATAAGTGACGTGCGCAACTCGGATTTGCACCTTAGCTTAGCCCCATAACGCGAAGTATTACGGGACGTATGCCCGCGAGATTCTTTAGAATATTATTTTAAAAATTCGTTACGAATAAAATGATATTCCATTCCAGTTGTCACGTGTCAATCTAGATAACGAAGTAAATTATTTAATATTTCATACTTAAAAGGCACATTTCATTTCGCTTTGCTCACACCCACATTCTGAACTCCCGTTTCTTTCTTAATCTCTCAAAGTGAAGTTTTACTGTCCAGAAATACGATTTCCAATAATATTAGTAAATTATACTAGAAATGTTTTTCTCTATCAGAATTGTGCGTAGTTTGCGTAATATTCAAAAGCAGACCAGATTTCAGAATGCATGTATACTTTGTCCAACGAGAATTTTGGTAAACAAAACCGCATGACTATGATGGAATCTGATTGGTTTGCTATGACTCTATTGACTCTATCCACGAGTGTATTATAGGTCGTTAGAATTTTTTATAGCGTGTGAAAACTTGCGAGAAAGAAGTTAGATGGATGGCCCTCTAGTATCGTACATGGAAGATATTCTTACGCTTGAAATATTATATTTTAAAAGTTTTATACTTGTTAGTTGTGTATTAAATAGTTATTTTGAAATAAATTCTGTACAAATGTAGCGTTACATTTAAATAAGACATTAGATATGAATGGTAAAGTGAAGTAACATAACTTGAATATGATAAGGGCTTGAAAACAATAAGATAAAATATATTCTATGTAAACTCAATGAAGATGAGTACAGAAGACGAATTCAATGTAGCAACCAGATATCGAACTGTTCGTAAACATTTAGATAGTTTAGGATACAAGCACGCACTTTCTTTGGATGCCCTTCCATTGATAGAAAAATTGTTAGCTGATCTTATTCAAACGACTGAAAGCTTAAAACATTTTAAAAGCATTGCACAAGAAAATATTGAGGTATCAGCTGTTAATATTATACCAGCTAATAGATTAAGTGTAAAAAATTCTTTATTTAAACAATGAATAGCAAACTATATAGATATTTTGTCACATGTTTATATAATCTATTATTTTCAATGCATATATAGGCATGTTCACAGTTGCAATTGGCAGCTGATCCTTATAAATGTGACAATGTGAGACTGGTACAAGAATGCAACCAGCTTCACACAGATTTGATAAAGGCAAAGGAATGTCATCAAAAGCAAATTAGAGACCTTAAGAAGGAAATACATAAATTGGAGCGCGAGTGTAATGATCTTCAATTGGCATTTTCGCATAATTTACATAGGATTAAAGAATTGGAGACTGAATCTTCTAAGAAGTCGAAGAAAATTCTGCAGCTTCAGGGAAAATGTTTAAAACCAATTATTAGCAATGTTGGATTAGGTAAATTGTTATCATCTGTTTATAAAAAGTTAATACAAGAAAATTGGGTGTGGATATACTCTTTTTACTTATACTTTTTACTTGCAGCTTCTAAAAAACGTCCGTGTTATCCTCTTCGAAGACCAGTTCTAGAAAGTGAACCATTGCCAAAGACAGGAGATAAAACTAATACATTGCCAACTTTAAGCACAGTAGAACCAAAAGTTGTTGATTTATTAAGCATGGCAGATCATAAAATGAATTGTTTGACTCACGAGGTAACAAAATTAAAGGGGGAACTTTCAACACAAACTGACAATGTACAAACACTAAAGAGTCAGGTATATTACTGATACTTGTATCTGTATGAATTTGGGGTGTTTCTGTTTGCGCTTTGGGAATATTTCATTTTTACTATATTGTATGAGTTTCCTTAAAACTACTACTATGCAGTAATATATCTATAGACATTAAGTGCATGCATATTATCAATTCAAATTTATAATTCTGCAAGCAAGTAAATTTAAAAAAATTTATGAATACTGTTTATAGTTAACTGCCAAGGAAAAAGAAATTATACGATTAAAAAAAATGTTGGAAGGGGGTAGACCTTATTCTGCAGTTTCTAAAGATTGCGCTTGTAAAAAGGCGGAAAGCAAGTTTATAATGTCCAATGATAATGTTGCTACTAATGAATTAAAGATTCTTCAACAAGAAAAGTTAGAACTAGAACAACAGTTGAAGGGTAACAAATTAACACTCGGACAAGGAATGGCGGTGCTGGGTCCGTACGGATCCCAATTTGTTTCCTTTTTCGGGATGTAATGGCTGGTTGTTTTATTATTTTTCACGTCTAGAGTAGGCCCGAACGGGTCCAGGCATCGCCGTTCAAGTGTTAAAATAGTGATACAGATTATTCATATATTCTATGTTCCGTGCAGAAGCTCTACATAAACAACACGATGCTATGTCCCAAGCGCTTAAGCTTGCTGATCGCAACGAAGAATTGGAGAAGGAATTGAGAGATATAGATCACATAGCTTTAGCTGTTGAGGCTGATTGTAATTCTACAGTGAAAGAAAATAATAAAAGGGTCTCTAAACTGCAGGTAATAAGTTTTTTAAATGTTTATAAGAACTTAATTCGACGAATTTTCCTCTTCCTGAATTTGTACTTTTAACACTCGGACGGCGGACCGTCAGGCGACTCCATCTGAGTGTTAATAATATATTAATGTAATTTATTTTTACTCAGCAAAAGTTACAAGATGTAATGACGCAAGTACATGTGTTAGAAGGTGAATTGACCGTCGAACATAGGGTAGTGCAAGAACTAAGAGCAGATCTCGAAGCTTGTAAGTTGGAAAAACGTAATATCCAACGCAATTTGGAATCTATGTTGGACGAAAAGAAACAGATGACGAATAGAATAAATATGCTGACTATAGTTGGTGCGTAATACATATGATTAAACATATTTTTTTCCGTTTAATGAATGTATATTCAATAATTTTATAGAAAAGAATTTAAATGATGAAATAGAAAGATTGACTAAAGAAAATGAGAAACAGAGGCAAGATATTATTCAGTTACAGTATAGCAATAAACTGTTGAAGGAACAAATGCATACAAAAGAAATTTTACAAGGTGATGATGGAGCTGATTTAAGAGAGATTAAAGAAATGCAAAAAAAGAATGTTCATAATAGAGGTAGGGAAATAAAAATGTACCCGAAAGTGAATATTAAAGAGTGTGTGTGTGTGTGTGTAGAGCTTTTCTTCTACCTATTTTCAAAATAAATTAGAAAATCATATACTTTAATAATTCTTAAAAATGTACAGTATTCATTGATATTAAAGACCATAATATATTTTGGATTTGTGTATTAGAACAAAACGGAGTAAATGTTCCAACAATAAGTAAAGATAGAGTTGTACAGAATGTAAATGGTATTGGATATGAAAATATAATAAAACAATTGGACGAGAAAGAAGCTCAACTACGTAGTGTATGTACCATATAGATATTCTTGTATGTGTTTATCATATTTAAAAGAGGGTAAATATATTACTTGAAATTAACTTTAGTTAGAACACGCGGTCGAGCAGGCGAGGAGAGAACGAGATTTCTATAGAGACGAGTGCAATAATATAAAAGATTACCATAGCGAAGTAATTAGAAAAGATCATGTAAGATTTTTCAATTATTAAGTGCATTTTTTAATTGTTCTTTCAAAATCTTTAATACTTTTGAATTATAATTGTTATAATTGTTTTTTAATGTAAAATAGGATGATTTGTGGGCACGAATTCGAGAATTAAAGCGTCACTTAAGCGAAAAGGAAAATGCATTGGATGAATTGCAACGAGAAAAAAAAGAACTGTTTCGGGAAAAAGCTAATTTGGAAACACGTTTACAAACTTGCAAAACCGAGCACAAAATGTCTCATCATCTGTGCAACGTGTGTAAACATGGTACCTCGTGCAAGTGTTCTTCGCCAAGTATGAGGGACATTAGCAAAACAAAGGTAAAAAGCGGAAATAATTTTATGTAAAAATTGTTTAGTGTGTAATCAGTGATATTTCTTAGGGCATTATTGAACATTTGGAGCACGAACGAGACATTGCACGGGCCGATGTTGAACGTTTAATAGAGGAACGCGATGCGTTACGAGAAAGATTGAAGGTACTTATATTATTACACTTAAAGAAATGTGTATATAGGTATTTGTTAATGGTCAGCTTTATATTAGATGGCTACAGAAGCGCATACATCCGAACAACGACGCCTTAGAGAAAATTTGACCGAAGTAGAAACCCGCCTGAAACAGATAGAGAAAGAACGTCAAGACCTTTTACTTACGCAAGGAGCACGAAGAGCAACAATAGACGGATTGGAGGATCAGCTACAAGACTTACGAGAAGAGCTAAAACGGACCAAACAAGAATTAGGAACACAACGCACGCAATATTTTCAACTTCGGTATTTACTGCTTACCATTATTTTTTCTATAGAACTGCAGTGACTCCAAAATGTTTCTATATACCATATAAGGCATGGTGTACGGAAACTTTTATTATTTATTTGCAAAAAAAAGTATTAAAAGCTCCAAATAGTATAATATTTAGGTCGATTTTTATCTTCTTAATTTTTAACAATCGTTAATGATCGTAACGTTAGAAATTGTAACACTCGACTAGTGTTACTTTGTTGCTGCGTAGTGGTTTCTTTCAATCAATAAACGTATTTAGGGCACTGCAAGATCAAACTGATCAGGCGTTGGGAAATGCTCAGAATCAATTGGCACAATCACAGTCCGAATTGAACAAGACGTTGGATCGCAATAGAACGATGGAGCGACAGCAGTTGCAGCTAGAAAATCAAGTTAAAGATTTACAGCAAGAGATTAATAACTATAAAGCGAATATGACGCATTTGGATCATGAAAAGGATCGATTGTTGGTGAGTAACGTACAGTTTTTTAATTAAAAGCGTAGCTCCCTATTTTACGTGTACACAGTTTTACGCGATATTAGATAGATCATAAGTTAGTGCTGTGTTGTATTGTCGTACGATCAATGAATGTTTTTGTCAGATCGCGTTAGATGAGAAGACGGAAAGGATAGCTGCCTTGGAGAGAGAAATAATGATGAAAGATCAACATGTGATGGGAAGCGAGCAACACATTCACGAACTCCAGCAGAAAAACGAGTAAGTACTTGCTATGTTTATAAGGCGTAACATATTCTAAAAGTTTAATATATTCTCAAAGTATTGCTCGTAAATTACATGTATTTACATAAATCATCATCGAATGCCAAATATAACTAAAAAAATTTCAATTACGAGTAGGTACTCTAATGAATATGGTAAAGATAGATTTAAGAAGTTTCGATGTATTTAAATAAATGAAGAATTTATCAAAATGACGAGGATTTTTATAGCACTTTAAATAAATAGGAATCCTTATGAAATCGAGATACAAGTATTTAAAACTATCTTAACGCGTAATATTTGTACAGTACTATTTACACATATTATTTAAAAACATACGCAACTTGTATACCTGCACAAAAAGTTTCTTTTACGTCACTAGTGCATACACGCAAGCATAGTCTGATTTCTCCCTCTTAAAAGTTTATCGTTTTTACATTTTCGTTAAGAAACTTTGCTAAGCTCACTGCAGGCGGCAGACAACCACCCGGAGAAAGGAGATTATTACTTTCTAGTTCAGACACTTCGGAACTCTCTGTAATTCTTTTGTAGCCAGGCCTGCATTCACACCTAGCTCTTGGTTCTGTTTCATTCTTTTTCCATAAGGTCGGTTTTGGCATTCTTCTTGCAACCAGCCATTCACCCGCTGTGCATGGCCCCTGTGTATACAACTTGTAGCAAGTTTTATTTATCACCACCATCCCCGGCGTAGATTCACAGCTATCGTTACTGTCCTCGGTGCACTCTTCAGCGTCCCTGAGCGCGTTAGTGCATCCGCACACTCCGTTGTAGCTAATCCCATCGATGGATGGTCTCACATTGTAATCGTATAAAACGATTTGCCCGTTTGGACACGGTCCTTTGGTTCCTATCTTGTAACACGTTTTTTCTTGAGGGAAGTACAACCGTCCGCGTTTGCACGGCGTGGGAACGCAGGTCGTCGAATTTATTAACATGCGACCATATTCGCAAGGTCCCCTCGTGTAAAGCCTATAGCAGAGTCCATTTTCGTAGAGAACGTGGTCTGGTTTACAGATACACTGGGCTCGAATTAAATCTTCGTTGGCTATTGTGTCCGTTATGACGAATTGATGCCCTTTCAAGCATGGACCGATACCACCTGCAAATGTATTAACCATTAACATTGTAAAATCGTGAAACAGGAAGTACATTATCTCACCTAATTGGTAGCACATTCCAGTCGGCTCGTGATAATGAGGTAGTTCAGAGTGGCAGCCACATGCACCGCCTGGTAAAAATAATTCTCCGAGTTCTGTGCACGGACCTTTCGTGTAATGTTCGTGGCAACCTCCTGTTGTTCCTGGCCAATGATATTTACCAAGTTCACCAGTCGTTGAACAAGAACACACAGTCAATCCATCTTCGTCCGTGGTGACAAGTTCACCCCTCGGGCACGGTCCTCTGCTGAATTTCGGGTAACATTTGTCGTCCCTGGGCCAGTACACTTCTCCTTTCTCTGTACATGGTTCTGGATCACGGCAGACACCCCACCTTTACCAGAAATCACAATACTATTTTAGATAATGCAATTTTTAAAGTGCAATATTTTCAGGTACACTTTGCTCCAAATTGCGACAAGTCGGTTCAAAGTCTTAAACAAGAGTTTATCAGATTTGTTAGATACCTTGACTTTCCAAACGTCTCTGGTACTGGTGCAAAGTACTGTCCCTTCGGACAAGACGCTCTTGTGTATATCGAATGACAGAGAGCATCCCTAGGAGACTGTGCAGTACCAGGTGGACACCTGCACTCTGCTATAGTTCCTCCGCCGCCTGCCGCCGGGCCCAATTCCATTGTCTCGGGGCATGGTGCCCCAATCTGTGAAACAAAACTCATCGATATAATCGGCGGAAAAAGAAAAGTGACCTGATAAATGAACTCTTCTCAAGTAAGGTCTATTAAGAGAACGGTCCCATGGCCTCTAGAAAGAGAAATGCTACACCTGCCTGGAATATTTTGTAACACTTTCCATCCGGCGGCCAAAATAACAATTGCCAGCCACGTGGTTGCGCGGCGCAAGGATTATTTGAGGGATCTGCCCAAGGTGGTCGCATGATTGCAGATCTGACGTTAACCACCGACGTGAACCAAACGGTGACCAGCAGATTCCTTAAAGCGCTGAAACGCAATTGTTAAAGTGACATTTGAGATGCTCGTTTGAGCGACGAAAAGTAGCGTACACAGCTTATTAAAGTTCCCTTTAAAATATAAATTTAAATAATATAAGACAGTCCATCAAATTGGGTTCTAATATAGATTATTTGTTACTTACAGGCTAAAAAGACATAGTCATTTAGTGGTCTCATAGTTAATTATTAAGGATTTTAAGTATAACAAATTAAGAGCCAGCCGAGTACTTGATCTCGTTGGATAAAAAGAAACTGACAAATCAGCGATAGCGATAAAAAAAAAAAAACGTACACACGTGTATGTCAGGATCGAGGGTAGAGCAAAAGCACGACAGAAATAAAATGACCATACTTTCACTGTTTCACTATGGCAATGGCATTGTCCCTGGTGGCAGGGCTCAAGATAACGACACGCGTGTGGAATAAGAATACTCTCTTGTACAAACGTTTCACGACTTGCAAACTGAAAGCAAAAACACTTTCCTCTTTTTTTTTTCTCCGTTTGACATTGAGCATTCTAAACGGCTATTGATTTTAAGAGGTACTCTGGGTGGCTCGTTTTACGGTATTTGCACGGAAATCTTGCACTTCGTTGAATCGTGCGTTTTGATCGAACATCATTATGCGCTGCATAAGGTGTCGAAAGACTGTAGAAACAATATTAAATGACACGTTCTTCTCATTGGAAATTATATGAATAATATTCTTAAAACACGAACGAAACAAGATAATTCGCTAGTTCTTCCGAGGATCGTTTTACGCCTCGAGTAATTGAATTCAGATGGTTACAAAATCTAGTTTTCTTTTTTAACGAATAATTGTTTAAAGAACTTTCTCGTTCTATTTGCAAATCCCACAAAATTGCATGCATGGGGTTTGGTAATCTTCTTTGATGCAACGGTCGTGGATATAAGTTGTTCAAAGTAATTGGGGTCACGTGCTCCCGAGATATTGCATGCACTCTTTTTACAAAAATTAAGGAAGTAATTAAGAATGTAAGGAACCTTGGCGCTTAAATTGCAACAGTTGTTAGACAAGCTTTCTTCGTGACTTTCCACTGCAGCAGCAGAACAAGTTCCACATATCGTTCGGTATCGTTTTATTAATTATTCTTTATCGTATATTGCTCTCGTTTTAGTACTCGATTTAGATTCAGCGGCGCGTACGAAGCTAATTATAATAACTTTAATCTGACAAGTCGCCTCGTTTAAATTACCATTCGTTACAAAATAATGTTTATTTTGTGTAAATTTCTGCAAACGAAACGCTACTCCGATTGAAATTTTCATTGAAAACTGAATTCTCTCGTGCGCGTTTCGCTTTGAATGGGATCGTTAAGAAAAGTCACATGATCATTGAACAACTACCGCGGATCACGGATTGCGGAATGCTATGCTTCCTTTTCCGGTGTGATTCTTGTTCTTCATTGTCAAACCAGTGTGACGAGTTGCGCAAATAAAAAGTGAGAGTATAACAAGAAAGAACAAAAAAAATATACGTATATGTGTAGTTTCTATGCGCGTATTACCGTGAAATGAAAAACACATTGTTTTTCCCGACTATTTCCACGTTTTAACGTTAAAACAATTTGTATTTAAAGTACTGTGAATTCCTTTCGAAATCGTAACGAAGGAAGAACGCGAATAAGAACATGTCGGATCGATCGGTTTGAAATTCCGTAACGAAAAATTGAGCGTCGGTGTCAACGTAACTATGGTGACAATGTTTACAATAATGGCAGTATCCGTTACAAAATTATTAGTGTGGGTGGTTTGGTCACCCTTTGCATCCTATCTGGTGCGATGCTCGTAAAAATTTACGCGGAACATGTGAGGAAATCGTCGGTGTTGTTTATTACTAAGAGGAGCAACGATCATGCATTCGGCAAAGGTTTGCTCGTGGTATTGTTTGGCTCGCAATGATGACATGCGATATAGGTACGAGATTCTTCATATTTTAGCGAATACATTTAGCTGAATTAGTTGTAAATCTTACAAATATGAAATATTAATACGTGAACGTAATTTCTTTTATTCAGAGTAATTTTTAGTCGAGCATCGCGTTAATTAAAATACAGTTACCGAAGAAAGTATCCATACACCGCAACACGTTCAGTTTAAACAATAAAAACTTTAATTATAGAAGGCTAGTTAACTATAGAAGGCACACATGCAGTTAGGGAATTAACTCAGCTTTCAGATAATATGAATTTTATTGTAACTTGAATAAAAATACAACAAACAAATCTCAAATGCCGAACGAAGTAAGAAAATCAGCGAGAAAAAAAGTATTCATGCAGAATTTTGTTTGTTTGTGGAACAGTCATATTTACAATAATTAATATTTTGTAGGATATCCGTTATTATCAATAATCGCTTGTAATCGCCTGGGCATAGATTCAATTAAATTATTTGTTACATTTCCCTCCATTTTTTGCCATTCCTCTTCCAAAGCATTTTTTAAATCATTTTTATTTGTAATTTCATATTTTTACGAACGATGTTTCAATTCTCGATTGGATTTATGTTCGGTTATTGCGGAGGAGTTTCCAAAACGTGAAGCGTATTGTATAAAAGCCATACCCTAATTAAATGAGTCTTGTGGATGGGAGCGTTATCTTGCTGAAAATAGTAATTGCCAGAAAGACCTAATTTCTGTGCGCTGTCTTTCAAACTTGATTTTGAAATATTTAAATATTTATATTGGTCTACTATTTCATCAATGAGATGCAAGTTTCCGAGACCATTTGTGGCCATACAGCCCCATACCATAAGGCTACCTCCACCATGTTTGACTGTAGGTCTAATATTTTTGGGCCTTAAAGATTCTCCCTTTTTTCTGTATACTAATTTTCGTCCATCTGAACCCCAAGTATTAAACTTGCTCTCGTCTGAGAAAATAACTTGTTTCCAAAAATCTGATGATTTATTCATGTAAATTTTTGCGAAATTAAGTCTTTTTTCTCTATTCACCTTATTGCCGTAAGGTTTTTTCCTCGTTTGTTTGATACCGTTTTCGGACAGATTTTGTTACCAGTTCTTGCTTCTAACTCTGCTGCGATTTTAGGTGCACTTTCAAATGGATTTTGTTTTATTTTCTTTATAATAAATCTTTCATCACTTTCAGTTAACTTACTCGGTCTCTCGAAGCGACGCATATTTTCAATTAATTCTGTACTTTTGTATTTATTAACTAGTATATTTACACCAGCATGACTCCTTTTTACCATTTCACCAATCTCGCGAAGTGATTTCCCACTTTTCCATAATTCATTTACAATTTTTCCTTCCTCTATTGTAGCTTCCTTATTTTTAACACTCATTGTGATACAAATTATGATTCTTTACCAAACCACGCTAAGAATTGACGAAACGCTATGAAACAAAAGAAACAAAAATAAAAGAAAGACGAGATTCTCCCAAGATTTTGAGTTTTATTGGTATATTTCGTCAATAGACGTCACGTATGAATACTTTTTCCTCGCTGTTTTTCTTACTTCATTCGGTATTTGAGATTTGTCTGTTGTATTTTTATTTAAATCATAACCAAATTCATACTATCTGAAAGCTGAATTAATTTCCCAACTCTTATTATTTCATAACTCGTTATGTCGTTCGAAGCGAGAAGCCACGGATCGAACAGATCGAATTTTACATATCGTTTCAATTTCAATCGCTCCTCGTCGTCGCGTCCTCCTCTTGGACTACTTTCCGACGCATCATCGTTTCACGCTTCTTTTTTCACGTTCAGAGACTCCCTTTCAGTTTTTACGAGCCGTTACGCAACGCGCTCTGTAACGCGCGATAAAAATCAAAAGTGTTATGTCATTAGCAAGTCATATTATTATAGAGCAGTACGTTATATAGTCACGGGTGTTCCCTCAAGCAACGCGAAGTTAATACCACGATACACTTCGCGGGCATGTGCTTGCATATCTGCGAAAAGTATAGCCGTAATTCGTTTAACGTCGTGCTTTCATTGCCAATTCGCTTTCTCCTTATTCGCGCAACTAAAGCGTAGCGATTAGTCGGTCATGTGCGTCTTGTGACCTTAACAAGTTTGCTTAACTTGGACGGAGCTACATATTACAAATGTTTACGGTGTCAAGGATTCGTTTGAAACATTTTTTTTTTTTTCGTATGTAGATCCGTGGTTTTGCAAGAAATTGTTCACAAATATACCCTTTCTCGAATGGAAATTCAACGTAGCATAGAGATGGACGAAAACTGTATTAACGTTTCGAATCTTTACGGGATTACGGACAAAAGAGATTAAAAAAAGTTACTCGAACATCCTGTTTTCCAACCAGGTTGAATAATCGAGGTTCCATTATATTACGTCCCGCTTGCATCGTTCCTGGGGTGGGGATTACATAACTCGACGTAATAATCGAACAACACGAAGGAACAAAGTGATGTGTAATCTTGGAGGAACATCTGTTGCAAATATCACGTCGTGACATTTATGTCGGAGGAACGAGCCGACCTTTGGAAATTAATCATTGCATTTAAATTGCACGCAGATGACTTTTACCTCGAATCTTTCTCCGGGTTAATAGGATTTGCCCAACTACGTAAACAAGTTTTTGATATATTCGTATTTATCGATATAATAGGCAGGTGCTAGGAATAATGGATTGAAATTGTATTAAATATAATATTTGCAACTTTCGTAGGGTGTATCCACCATGTTATTGCTTTAAGAACTTTTGCAAATAATTCTGTTAATTAATTACAGTTCGACTGGGTCGCGAATTAGAGTGGGTTTTATGCGAAATCGAAATAGTACAATGCATTGTTCCGAGAAAGTAACGAGAGCTGCCATTTAAGACCTACAGGAAGCAATAATCAAATTCGTTGGTACTGTTTTATGGCGCGTTCGGTTTTTCAATTTTACCATTACTTAGTCGATAGATTCAGGTTCGATACAGATTGTGTGTGTCGATCGTAAACGGTAGATCTGTGTATGATCTTAATATCTACTCCGAAAGCGAATGCGTTCCGACGATTTCAAGGTCGTCTGTATTTTTTTAAGGTCAACAGGTATAGAAACAGGGTCAAATCGTTTGCTCTGGAAACGAATAAAAAAGGAGTTGCTCGTTTCAATTTTTAGCGAAAAAAAGAAATAATAAACACGATGTATGTTTAAAAAAAAAAAAAAAAAAACAAGATATTTCTCGTCGTTCGACTTACAACGGGGCGATCATGGTGAGGATTTCTGAAGGGCCCAGTCACGAGTTGTCACATCACAGGTTCACTAAAGTTCACCGTGTCCTTTTATCGTAGCCGTTAGACATCCTGCGCGTGGAGAACTTGGGCACACCGAATGGAAACGATGGTGTCGACTCGGCCTCCGCGGCGGGACTGGAACATCGACATCGAATCGCCTCCAACGGCTTCGCGGCTGTTACCTAACTTCCCCGAGACAAGAATCGAATCTGTTAGCTCGCCTCCCGTTGCTTTTTTTGGTAATTTAGAACAGCGTCGGACAATTTCGTTAGAAAACCAGGGGGAACGTTTCACCGAGAAGCCGAGAAGACATTTATTCTAGACAGAATTCACGTTTAGCGATCAAAAATGAAAAACTATTTTTTCGTTATTATAATATACAGGGTGTTTGGCCATCCCCGAGAAAAATTTTAATGGGAGATTCCATAGATCAAAATAAGACGAAAATCAAGAACACTAATTTGTTGATTGAGTTTTCGTCAAAAAGTTATAGAAACATTTCCGGTCACACATTAGATTTTTGATAAGGAATTTTTTTCTCAAAAGTGCGTAAGATTTCGGGGGTATGTTTATTGACCAAAACTGATTGTAATTGACCCCTGCAACTGAAAATAATTTTTTTAGAACGAATTGACATTTTTTAATTTCACCGAAAAATTTCACCTACTCGAATTTTTTTCTCGAAAGTGCGTAGGATTTCGGGGGTATGTGTAATGACCAAAAATGATTGTAATTGATCCCCGCAACCGAAAATAATTTTTCCAAAATGATTTGAAATTTTTAATTTAATATTTTAATAACTTCTTATCGAAACCTCAATCAACAAGTTGATATTCTTGATTTTCGTCTTATTTTGACATCTAAAATCTCCCATAAAAATTTTTCCCAGGTGTGGCCGAACACCCTGTAGATAAGACTTACTTGGGAGACTGTCCTTGACGATATGCGTCAAGGTCGTCGGACTTGAATTCCTGAACCTGCATAGTTGCTGGTTTGAAATACAAATCATCGGTTTTGGTCACGTTTCATGCATAATTTTACACACGATACCATCTCCTGTACCGTAAAAAAGAAAAAAATGGGATTTGTCGCGTGGGTTTTTCGTATGTATTCGATGCACGCAACGTAGAATGAAATCATGAGTTTCACGATTACAGCAAAATCCTGTACATGACGAAGCATGGATTCCATCCATCCCCTTCCGAGAGTATCGTGAATTCCTTCGAAGATTCCCAATTGCGAAAGAGTCCACGCAACTTCCCGAGACTTTCGTTGTTGCTCGACCTCCGAAAGGTCGCAGAAAGAAGGGGGCATAACATCGTTACGCTTTCGTTACGGATCGTTGCATAATTCGGTGAGAAGTCAGCCGCCTCCGGGCGGATCCATTAACGGGAACCGCACAATCGTCCTCGACGCTGAACGTTTCTCACGTACCCGACCCTCTTACGTGGTTGGTTTCGAAGAACCGTACCGATACGATGGAAAGAAAGTTCAGGACCTTTAACATTTACAGCGACGCGGACAAGTTACCTCGCCGTGTGATAATACCACCGTAATAGTGTCGAGTGGAAGTTCCTACGGTGATCGAGGAAACGATGATAAGTTTCTGTTGCATAAGAATGGTACGCAACAGAGAATGTGGATCGTAGGTTACCGAACTGCTTCGACAAGGAGTAACGAAATTAAACAAAATTAAAGAAAAATATTACCCATCGATTAGCGTCGGTGTTCGAAAGAGCCAAGACAAAGGATCAACGTTACGAGAGAACACGTGCAACCTTAGTTTGAAGATCACGAAATCGTTCGACCGAGCAGAGTGCATCGCCCTAAGCGCACACAAATGGCGTCGTGTACGTGTGTGTACCTATGCACCGATTGTCCCGGCCAGAATTCTATTTATGGTTCCCGATGTCAAAACGAACGCCCTTTTAGAGGTGCCGTTCACCTTTACCGTTACCGGTAAAGGGCATTGCACGGTTCCTCGAAATGCAGAGAAGCACGCGAGAGGCAACAGGATGCAGAAGAAGAACCGTTGTAATCTCTCCGTAGTCTCTTGGGGTTCCTAGTGATTACGTGATCCTTCTCGAAACGTGGATTTCGCTGTTCCTCCTGATATCGACTGTCCAACTGGGGCTATCACCCTCGAAACAAAATTGACAAAATTATCGCCACGACGATCGCCGTAAGTTCTACGAAAGTAATTCGCAATCGCAGCCGCGGGAATCTTGGATGCGTAACGCAAACCGCGGTGCCCACGCGAACGGGCCTCCATCGCGGCTTCGATTTCAGGGACATTCTTCAGGATGAACGAGAATGAAAGTATGCCTTGCGCAATGAACGAAACGGACGTGTACGGTGACCTTCGTCGACGCGTCCGAAACCTTGAATTCGACTCTTCCTAAAAAGAAAAGATTATAATAAGTGGATATATTAGGTGTTGGAATTAATTCGTAGCGTTTTAGAAGAGATGGCACAGGTAGTACACTATTTGGTTGTTACCTATCATAGGACGTTATCATAGCTATCATAGGACATTATTTGCCGTACATAACCTTTTTTTAAATCTATCTATATATTATATATCTATTTTCTATATATATAAAATGAAAGACCCGACTCACTGACTCATCAACGTTCAGGCTAAGCCCTTGGACATACAAAGCTGAAGTTTTGCACAGAGGTTTCCTTTATGATGTATACAAGAAATAAGAATAGATATTCAGAAATTCAACCTCTAAGGGGGTGGAAAGGGGTTGCAACGTTTGTACAAGGAATATTTTATTTGTGGTCGGATTTACTTGAAACTTGGCCTTAATGCTCTTTGACATAATTAATCAAACACCTGTTTCGGCATATTAAAAAATTCTACCCCTGGAGGGATGAAAGGAGGTTGCAACGTTTGTATGGGACATATTTTGTTCATTGTCGGATTTGGTTCATACTTGGTCTTAATACTCTTTAATATAATTAATCAAACACTTATTCTGGTTTTTTTTTAAATTCAACCTCGGAAGGGGTGAAAAGGGGTTGCATGTTTGTATGGGACATACTTTGTGTGTGGTCGGATTTACCTGATATTTGGTCTGAATGCTCATTGATACACTTATTTCCCATTAAAGTTGCCTTATTTCCGTAAATTATGACAATCCGAAGCGCAGAAAGTCATGGGTTAAGCCCGGCGAACTATCAACATCAGCGTAATGTTGGAAAATAATTGTAGAGGTAGTTACGAGGGACTCGGTAATTGAAATGCACGTACGACAGAGTCTCGAGGGTGACTCTGAAATACCAAGAGGAGACCTAAAAAGTACAAGACCGCGGAGCGTGAGGAATTTGTCGACTCCCTGAGCAAATCGAATATGCACATAAATCACTGTTCTTCCAAGAGATCAACCACACACAAGAAAATAACAAAATATATAAAATTCTTAGAAATAATCCCATGTACTATTTAATTTTCTTTTCCACCTTTCGGTACAGTTTTCAAGCCGAACAACATTTTCATCTTACACATTGTCGGGGTTGATTCGAAGGAAGTTCAGTCTGTTGGTCCGCGTGTTATGCGTGCGTTGAACGAACGTAACTGTAAATTGGTGGGTTTCCATCGTTGATCCGTGGTTACGAAAGCACGTCGCGGGGAAAATGAATAAACTCTTACTGCAATTAAACGCGGGGAAAATGGATAGCTGCGTACTTCCGCGATGATTTCATCGGTGCGCGTGACACGTATGAGAACTTACGACTGCATAAACGCAGTAAGTCAACAAGCGATTTTCTTCGTTTATGGTTGTACCGCTTTCCGCGTCAGGCGGAAGTCGGCTCCTGACCTTTAGTGTTATTTATTGAAAAATTTAATGGACCCACTCGACTAAATCTCAGCGTCCGTACACAGCAAGTTGCTAGGATTACTCGTTGCTCGACCAGATTGCTGAACGTGCCCGAACCAGCCTTAACGTGGAGTAGTCGCTTTCATTCTGTGAATGCAAATACCGCGGAGAAAAGAGACAAAGAGACGGATCAAGATGTTAGAGCAAACAAGACGAATGGAATCAATTTACTTATCCAATGTTTACGGTAGTCTTGTGCGCCATGCTCTTTCCATCCGCGTTGGGTTCGAATTCTTCCGTGTTTTTAAGTATAAATTTTTTCTTTTTTTCTTTTTTCGCGCATTTATATTGGAAAGGTTGTTTTTATCAATCGTTTAAATAACAATTATTCTTGATCGCGCTACGTAATGGTACCACTGATTGAAATTCATTAGTTACGCAATTTAGCGTGTTACATTGAAATCAAAAGAAGCGTTCTTCTCATCGTGTTTCTTCGCGGGGTCCGTGACACAATTCCAATCGTCGTAATCGATTCTTAACATCTTGTTTCTTAAAATACCACATTACAAATATCAATTCTACCTGACGATGTAAACCGAAGCCACGCTATAATCACGTACACGTGACAGCGGCCGCCAAGGTCAAACTATAATCAGAGCTGGATAAAATACTATTTAACTCACAAGGGGAGGTCACGACCTGTAAACCTGGGATTTGAACCAAATTTGGCAGTAGGGCCTGATGTCCAAATGTAATCTGTAAAATACTAGATGTTTATGGCCAGCCATTTTTTTAAAAAAATGACTTTAAAGTTTAAAATTTTCAAGTTGTCGAATCGAATTCGTTTTTTTTTTTAAATTTCAGGTTTCGACGAGAGGAACACAAAAGTCCAATACATTTTTGCCGTATCATCAATTGTTTAGCCAAAGATTTGAGTTTTTGAAGGTGTTTTTAACAGCCGTGATAGTCGTGGAGTTAAAGTCAAAGAATTCGACCCGGAAGACTACGGTTCGTTTCTCCGGAATTAGTGCATTTTTTTTCTTTTTTTCGCTTATATTTTAATTTTTATTCATTTTCAATTTTAATTTTTAATATTATGAAAATAGTTGGCTATTACAAATAAATCAAATTAAACTTTAAAGTCATTTTTTTTCAAAAATGCCTGGCCATAAACGTCTAGTATTTTACAGATTACATTTGGACATCGGCCCCTACAACTCTGCCGGTTCAAATCCCAAGTTGACAGGTCGTGACCTCCCCTTGTCAGTCCTCCGGAATAGTATTCCATTTGAATCGTAAAGAATTCATTATTTAAAGCAGTATTTGAAGTATTTTCTCCGCAAATTTCGCCCGGCTCTGTGTACAAGGGAATATGTTTGAGAAGGTCTTCAGCTTCTACCAATTCGCGAGCGTCTCGAGGTTATTTTCACTTTCGTACAGAGAAAAAGACGACGGAGCAATGCCGAGTGGATACGAAACATCGAAGGAAGCTGTGGATGCTGAGGAAGGACGTCGGGATGAGAGAAAGTTGTCTGTTCGGTATACGGGTTAACTCGGACTTTTTTCCTCTAAAAGTATGGCGGACTATGCACTCGCGCGTTACTTCGGTTACGTAATGCACGGTTAAGTTTCGTGTAGAAAGATCGAAACGTAGGACCGAAAATGACCGTAGGACCGACTTGCTCCAAGATTCTTCGACAGCTTTCTACGCGACGCGTTCTGTTTTTAGTGCCTAATAAAGTCGTTTTCGAGGCTACGTGATTCACAAGCGAAACGAAATCTGGCCACGTAAATATATTTTCGAGAAAGGATTAAGTAACTTCGTCACGGTGGGCACCTAATTCGTTGGACGTTCGTGCTGCCCTTGTCCCCTTTCTAGAACGTCGCTTGCGCCACGAGGGATGAGCGTACGATTCGCATAATCGAATAGAACACGGATTAAATATTAATACCGCGACGTAACGTTCGACTATTTCAGTTGTTAACGTTAAGAAATGTACGTTTCGTTCTGTGCCCGCAGAATATGCGTCGACCAAAGCGCGGAACAAGAGAGGCAGCTGAGGTCGATGCAGTCGGAGATGGACAATCTTCAGCGACAGTTGCAATCGTCCAACTACGACCGGGAGAACGCAATTCAGGAAATCCGAAGGGTCCAGGACGATTTGGCAGCGGTCACTTGCGAAGTGAGAAACATGCAACACGAATTGGACGCGTCTCGCGCCGAGTCCATCCATTTGAAGAAGCAACTGCAAACTTATGTTAGCAAGGTGCGCCGGGCTGAGGAACTGCTTACCAGAAAGGTGATCTTAATGGTTTAAGGGGGAGTCTCATGTGAATGATAGAAAATTGAACCATTTTTCTTAATTTTTTTTAAAGAAAAGTTACATCTGACGTTATGATTCTTTTTCGCAGTTTACTTAGCTATCCTTTGGGAATACAAGATAATTTTTCTATTAATTTTTATTAACTTTTAATGTTGTTATCACGTCAATGGCTTGCAGGGTCAGAAATGCAATTTAACATATCAAGTACTACTCTTGATCCTAAGGTCAAGTCTTCACGATCATTTTTAGCGATTATTTTATCAGTGTATAAGTAAAAATTATAACAGTATCCGCTGCTTCCGCAGAGTCCAAAATTTGTAGCCAAATCGATTAGGCTTTCCACGTATAAATTGTTTCAATGAGTTGTGTCCAAAATATCTCACAATCATTTCATCAATTGACAATTCTTTTTCGAAAATTCCATATTTTTTTAATTCACTGTTTATCATATTTTGCATTTATATTAAATTTCATAATAAATTTACAATTTAATTTTTACATACATAGTACATACATTTTGATAACGCCAAGTACCAGTGTCCTATTTATAGGACAGCTACATGAAACTTGTAACCAATACGAGTTTTTCCTAAAAATACATAAACAAAGTTTACAACAATCTTGACTAATCATTCCCCAATAGAAATAACACATTAGATGATAAAAAAAGTGACGATATGGAGTTTTTATGATTGAGTATATAATTCGAGACAAAGTAAGAAAATTTATGCAGTATATATAATTTTTTTATTAAAAACATATTGGTAATGTAAGACAACAATAATTATAATTTAGTTTAATACACCCTGAAATATATGTGGTAAATTTTTCATTTAATTTGAACCGATTTTAAGGGTTGAAAAAAAAATAAAATACTCAGTGTCCTATAAATAGGACACTGGCTTATAATGGGTTAAACTGGTCGATTTGTACAGGGTGTCAGACCTACTAACAATGAAATTGTAAAATTTGTTTTGAGAAAAGGCTATCATAAACGTAACAATATTATAATAAATAGAGAATGTCCCGTGTAACAGGTTTCAGCTGTGTCGGTGAAGCTGTTGAAGTTAGGAAAAGTGGGTAATTATGTACATACGTGTCGACGACCTCACCGATTCCAACGGCCTTGAAATATGTAGGAGGGGGAAGGTCGCTGAGTTTCCTGGGGCAAGAAACGATTATCGTTCATTCTCAGTTTTATTACTTAATTATTTAAAGATAAATATTTTAAATAAGATTTGTCACACAATTACGTAAATTAAATTTGAAATATTATTTAACGACTTCTCCAATCCCATAAAATATGTTTGAGACAATGAAGCTTTTATCCTTTTAATCGTGTACCCTTTTTTTCTGGCCTAATGCACGTTGTAAAGTTGATATTATTTACAGGAAAACGAGAGATCGGAAATGTGGAACCGCTGTTGCAGTTTGAGTATGGTTTTGGAGAAGAACAACCACACCTTAGAGTCCGAAGCAGCAGAAGCGAGAGGAGCACTCCAATCAGCTAGGGACCAATTGTTAGATATGGAACGACAATTGGCTGATAAAGATGGCTTGATAAGAAGCTATGAAACACAGGTCAATTATTTTAATTGGCTCGTAAAATGCTTTAAAATTTAAATAATTAGAGTTTCTTATTTTTAGATCAGCGAGTTGACACAAAATGTTGCCAGTATGGAAACCCAATTGCGCGCACAAGAGGACGAGAAACAAAGAGCAGAGGCTAATTTATGTGCTCTTAAAGATCTCTGTCTAACACTGAATGAACAAAAAGACACGCTTATGCATCAACTCGATGATAACGATACGCTTAAAACAAAGGTAAAATTAATATGTAGCGATAAAATATTGTTGGAGTAATTTGGTTACTTACACTCGGTTTTGTTTAGTATGATATGCAAATAGCCAAACTGACGGCGGAGCAGGCTTCGATCGAAGACCAAATGAACAAAGATCGCGCGACGGTGGAACGCCTCGAGATGCTTTTGGATCAAGCGAGACAGGAGGCTATGACCATGCAGGCTAATAACCAGAAGCTCAGGAACGAAATGTTCAAATTAAGGCAAAAGATGTCTGAACTGCAAAACAAATTGTAAGGAATACTTTAAATTCGACAATTTTCGGAGTTCATTTATTCTTTAATTGTACGTTGCAGATCCTCAGAATCGGCGAAACTGCGGGAATATCAAACACAGGCGGCTGAATATTGCAAACAGATTAGCGAACTACGTAGGCAAGTGACAAACGAGAGATTCGACCGTGCGAGAAAGGATGAGGAGAGTCGCAGGTATATATTCTTTAAAACCCATTTGCTGCTTATAATTCAAAATCACAGTAACGCACAGTTAATTTTTCACTATTTATTATCTCTCTCCCCCCCCTTCCCATAAATATACGCTAACATTATTCTACCCGGCACGCGTAACTTTCACTGTTGGATCTCAAATCTTAGGAAAGTTAGCCTTGCGTTACTGTACTATTAGACAAAACCCGATAGAGTACTATTTCAGTTATCCATGTCGCATTTTCTCAGTCATTTAGAAGGCTCTGCTGAACAATTCCTGCAAACCACACCCCCGCCTTCTAATACTCAAACTCCTAATGGGTCCAATGATACTGCGCGCAGGTAGTAAAATGTTTAACCCCTTCCTTCGACTTTCCGTTCGCGAGTCTGGCTCGTGATACAGACTCGTCAAAGTACGGGAATGGGTTAATTAGCTAGTAATAATAAATTTAAACGCAGACGTGGGTTTGTTTTGTTCGTATCCAGAATCATTTTCCGCCTCTGCGTTACTGCGTTCTGTTGTGTTTCATGAAAAACGAAAAATATTAAACCTGCTAGGCAAGCAGACTGGTTGAAGAAACCTTACACCGCGATTCCCCAATTCACCCGTATACTATCCCCTGTGCGATCAGTGGACGAACGGTATTCCTTTCCCTTGGATTGCAAGTGTTTGTCCTCGAGAAACGCTGTGCAGAGTTCATCGTCGAACAAAGTGCCACTCGCGTCCTCATCCTTCAGCAATCAGGCAGGCGTCGCAAGGCAGGACAGTTCTGAAACCACTAATAGACACTCGATGCCTCTGTAATTATATAACGAAGCGTTTAGTATACGTTGTATAACAATTCGTTCGTTAATAATTTTAGTACGAGAATTTTTTTACACGAAATAAATAATTTTCAATGTGACACAGTTGTTGAACTGAAACACTGATTTCGTGATAATCTTAGTTGGTAATCCATATTGCCACAGTTCATTCTCACTTGTATCAGTGTTTCCCAAATTCAACGTTCCCGTGAGTACTTACGAGTTTCAACCACTATACAGGGTTTTCGGCCACCCCTGGGAAAAATTTTAATTAAAGGCTTCGTTAAAAAGTTATTAACAATTAAAATTTAAAAATATCAAATCGTTCTGGAGAAATTATTTTCGGCTGCGGGGGTCAATTACAATCATTTTTTGTTATTACACATACCCCCGAAATCCTACGCACTTTCGAGAAAAAAATTCCTTACCAAAAATCTAATTAGGTGCCTTAATTTTTCATCGAAAAAAAAAATTTCAAATCTTTCTGGAAAAATTATTTTCGGTTGCAGGGGTCAATTACAATCAGTTTTGGTCAATAGATATATCCCCAAAATTCTACTCAGTTTCGAGAAAAAAATTCGAGTAGGTGTTGAAATTTTTCGTTGAAATCAAAAAATGTCAAATCGCTCTGGAAAAATTATCTTTGATTGCGGGGGTCAATTACAATAATTTTTGGTGAATAGACATACCCCCAAAATCCTACCCACTTTGTAGATAAAAATTCGAGGTGTGAAATTTTTGGACAGAAAAAAAAAATTTCAAATCGTTCTGAAAAAATTATTTTCGGTTGCGGGGGTCAATTGCAATCATTTTTGGTGAGTAGACATACCCCCGAAATCCTGCGCATTTTCGAGAAAAAAATTCAGTACGGGCGGAACTTTAAACGTTAATAACTTTTTAACAAAGCCTCCACCAACAAATCGATGTTCTTGATTTTCGTCTTATTTTGGCCTCCAGAATCCCCCATTAAAATTTTTCCCAGGGGTTGCCGAACACCCTGTATTATCATTTAACAAGTTAATTGGAAATCTCAATTCCCACATATAAGTGAAGTGATAACAAGCTTTTTCTTTCTTCTAAGAGTTTGAGAAACACTGAGTCGCTGATGCAATAATTTCAATTTCATTCCCAGGCAACTGAGATTTTTTTATTTTTATTTGCAGGTCTTTAAATTCAACACCCGACAGTTTTAACGTAGATTTAAACGTGGTTATATAAAAACTATCACTTAACGTGCCCCCGATTGATAGATATTTACAGAACGAAAGAAACGAAGAGCACGATGTCACCACTGACAGCAACTACAGATGTAATAATTGCCAAAACGTCGTTCAAGGCGATGTTCCTTGCATTAACATAATATTACGATCAGACAGTACGGCACGGTCGCAACGGGTTAATCGTCCACAAAAGGATATCGTTCGAGACGAAAACGAAATGACGTTGCTGAATAAAGATCACGTAATTACGATCGATCTAGAAGCATCGTGCACGTCTTGCTTGAATTCGTCTCACGACAGACGCGATCAAGCTGGCTTTAATAGAGAAAATTGTTCGAATTCGACAGAAGGAAAACATGATCAAGGTAACGAAGAATTGACCTTTCATAATGTTTCACGCATTGCGTATTTTAGTAATGCGTCACCTTCTTAACGATTTATTTCTTCGAACGAAATGCCAGGCATTGATAAAACACAAACTTGAACTAATTCAGCTAGAAGAAGATTGACGTATTTCACGGATAACAGCGTGGTACTAGATCAAATGATGATGATAAATAGGAAAACAAGAAATGCTTCAACCGTAGGCGATAAGACTGACGTAAGCGTTAATGCAAGCAAGCGTCGAGTTGAAAACACTGTAGAATCTCATAAAGAAATATTTTGGAGAAGTTCGCCCGTAATGAAATTAGGAAATAGCGTAGAAAGAGTAAACGAAGATAAAGTAACTTCTACAAGAACCGAAACAGAGGGAGTAGAGAAGATGGTCGATAAAATCATGATAAAACACAGTACTCGTGGTTATCAGCATGCGGACGTAAAATGTAAAAATATGGATTGCAATTATATAAAGAATGTTAGAAATATGAATACCGAGTTAACGAAACCAGAATGTATGAAAATTTTAAAGGAGATTAAGGAACGTACTAAAACTTTGGAAGAACAATTGATACTTATAAATAAGAACATTACGGTTAAGACAAGGAGGAGTGAAAAGTTTTCTATTTCTGAGCACAATATAGATTGTACGTCGAGTATTAAATACATTTATAATATTAAGCAACACAGAGATATAATTACACAGCAGCCGGAAAAGGAAGATGTGTCGATACAAGAACCTAGTCAGAATGATATCACATGTGTTAAATGTGTACAGAATACAACAATAATATCGGGAAACAACCTCGATTCGCAGAAAAGTAAAAAGCAGAATGTAATTCCCCAGGAAACTGATAAAAAGACGTCATACACAGAATATATTGTTGGTGGTAATAAAATGAAAGATAAAAATGATAAAGACGGGCGTTACAAGTTTAATACAAAAACTATCAATGATATAGACAAACAAATCAATCATAAATTGCTTAGATTTTGTAATGTTACTAATTCAAAGAAAATACAAAATTTACAAGATCGACATGCATGGTCTGCATCCTCTTTTATTCTTAATCATTCAAATTTTAGACCACTCACGTCGTTCACGCCTGAAAAAACGAACTTGTCGAGCAACAAAAAATGTCTTTCTCATAGTTCGTCTTCTAGGCAGACCAATGCCTCGTCTGATAAGGCTTTAGGAACGAAACAGGTTAAGGAACGAGAAGAACGTCCAATTAATTTTACAAACCTAAATAACAAACAAGAAAGTTCGCATTGTCGAGAGAAAGCTATTATAATGACGCTTTCAACGAGAGCTGTAAATAATACATATTTAAAATCCATGTATAAAAAAATGGAATTTATGCATTTTAAACCAAGACGCGTCGTTGATTCGTGTGTCGTGCGTGATCGAAGATCGATAAAATCTACATTGCCAAAACGTAGAGTTCAGATACCCGCTGTGTTCAGACAAATGAAATCTGTACAGTGTAAAGTCGAAGAATTCGTTGACTCTGTTAAAAATAGTCGCGATGACTTTACAGACCAGACGATAGAAGATCGAAAAGTATCAAATCTAATGCCGACTGTTTCTACACAGACGTCCAATTTATATATTAACACTGCCACTTCGGTTTCTCGAGTTACGTTTAACGATAAAAAGTATACTAGAGAAAAAATAGCACAAACAGGAACTTGTGTATTGAGTTAAAGAACACGTTTAAAATTAAGACGAAATTTTAATCAACGGACAGTTCGATTTACAGTATTTAAAATAAGACTATATTGCGTCAACGTATGCGTATCGTAAGATTTTAGCTTTTAACTTATTTGAAATATTTCTATAAATGACAAAGTCTATTTATATTCGGGCAGAGCCCGAGTTGTTTCTAACTGTAAATCATAGTATGTAAATTTCTGGGGAACATGTGTCGATTGTAGGACAGTAAACATCATTTCCTATTTTTATAACCTTCTTCTCTTCCCTCCATCCCACGCTTTTTCCACTTCCACGGAATAAATCGATACGAATAGTTTGGATACATTTATTTTTTTCGCGCGTTAACGCTTTGCATTTAAACATTTGTTAAAAAATAAAAAATAAAAAAAGTTTTGTCATTGATTGGTAACGTGATTTATCTTCTCATCCAAATATTCGATCACGGATCAGATTGCCTAATAGTGGGGGACACAAATTTTACTCGAAGAGTAGAGATTTTCTTTCACATATAGAGAGACTTTACTCTAATATGAAAATAAGAAATTTGTATTGCCGTACCAAGAGTTGAAGTTACTTTGAACTGCAACTAGTTTGGTCAATAGTGAAAGTGTATGTAACGTAATATTTTGCGAGCGTCAGTCTTGAATCGAGAAATTGTAAGACTGTGCTGGTATTGATATATAATATAAAATTGTTATTGTATCGTACGCATGACTGATATTTTAAAATAATAGCTTATTTTATCGTATTACTTTTGTATTGTAGTTGCTGAATTAATAAAGACACAATTTAATTACATCAGACCAAGTATAGAGTACTGTGTTTGCCAAACAAGCATAGTTCATTCATTTAATAAATGTTTTTGACTTTTGAATTAAGTTTGCTTCGGTATAAAAATGTTCATTGTTTAATACCTAAACGTACAAAAATAAGATATAAATTTAACAAGAACGACACGCTATTAAATAAATATAAAAGTTTAAGACACTTGCAATACGATAAACTATTTATTTACTTTCATAGTGCTATTCACGATTAATATACATTAATAAAAACTAAATTAACGGAACCAATAAATAAATGATAAATTATTCTCATTATTACGATAAGGAAAGACACATTAGCCATAGGTTATATAGAAATCGTACATGGACTTGCTGGGACAAAATATTAAAAATGTCTCGAACTACAAAGAGTTAAACTTTATAACGTGTACCGTTTCTGGTACACTGGCATGGAAATAACACGCGATCAAATGCAACTTAATAGGTAACGTATTCATGGATCTTTAATTAGGTCCGGGGCTTTCTAGCTTCCAGAATGATCGTGAACAGAAAATAAACATCAAAATGATTCTGTTATGTTTAATTTTTAATAGTTCTCCTTCGTATTTAGTAATTTATTATATCATTCTTTTATTCCTTTACACATATGTTATGATCTCGATGATCGTACGAAACGTTGAACATGTAAACTAGGTAATTACAAATAATAAAAATAAAAAGCCTCTCATAAGATTTTCTCTTCTCTTCTAAACGTCCAGCTATTCAATTTGATTTATGTATATATGTATACGTATACTTATATGTATTTTATATATATAATGTGTGTATAATTTATATATAAAATACATAACAGAGGCTCGCACAAAGTTTCACCGTTTTACAGTTTACAGATGTTTTTCTTTTTTTTTTTATCATAGAGATGTCCGGCTTTTTCGTCACAATCGGTGCCAGCCAGTATTTTCTGTCTCTCTCTCTCTCTCATGCTCTCAACGTCCACTGTTTCATCGATTCAATAATTACAAAAAATTCATACCTTGCAACTCCCTACGTGTTTTGTCATAATCTATTATAATACAGAACTTCCTCACTTCGCTTCGCCAGACGTTTTTTTAATCTTACACTCTTAAGAAATTTATACAGAGCTCGTAACATCGTGAATGAAATACAGGCATTATGTACAAATATTTATAATTGTATACATATATATATGTATATGTATATATAGTTCAGTATACCTGAACAACTCGATGAATGATACGCGTAAATGCGAATTATCTTTGCAAAGTAATCGTGACGTCTGATCATGGATAAAATTGTTCTCATTTGTCCCGTTCAACGTGTACGAAATGGAACGGCTCCAATTCGTCTCGATGAACAACCAACTAAATGCTTTGCAACAAAGGAAAGAATTTGGTCGATTTTCTTTTACTTGAAACGAACTGAAATTACCATTTCATGGTACACTTTTTTCCTTTTCACCGTTTCTTCGGTGTATTTTTTCACCCTTTTCTTTTTGTACAGCTATAATACAAAGAAGTCGATAATATTTCTATGTTTACGAGCGAAAAAGTAACGCGAGGAGATGTGAAAATGATCACGCATTCGAAGTAAACGTTCGGCTTTATTCTCCTGCTTTTTCTATATAAAAAGTTTGCAGAAGCAATCGCGTTTCGTTACAAAATCAAATTCACGAGTCAAGTGGCAATTTTGTTGAAAAACTGATCTTCGAACTTCCGTTTTTCGCTTAAGACAAAGAAAAATATTTATAGTTCTGGTGCATAAACTTGGATTTTCGAAATTTCTGATATTCTCGTCGAAGTATTTCGATAAAAATGTAAATTGCATTTCTTGTAATCTTGATTTCTCGTACAACGTCCAATCGATGGTATTAGTCAAGACATGCAAGTCGTAAATTCGAATAAAATAATTGCAATCGAGGTTATCTCTTTGTCGAAGACAGCTTTACAGGCTTATAATAATGAAAACGGTTAAAATCGGGATTATCGTTGGAAACGGTTCCCCTTGGAAAAGCGTGTCCTAACAAGTTTCCTTTCCTTCTTCTCTTTTTTTAGTTCTGAAAATTTGAAAAATACTGGCTTCAACGACATTTAGGCCCTTTCTAATTCCAAGTATAAATATACTTACAACTGTATCTATATTGCACACAGACAACTCGAAAGCGATATTTGATCTTTTAAACTCGATCGAATCGAAGTTGCAGCTTCGTGTGGGATGCTTCGCCATTAATCCCATGGTTCCCCAATTCGTACGAATTGGATTCGTTTCTCTCTCTTTCTCTCTCGCGCGAGCAACAGACGACAAAGTAAATTCGAGGAAAATGATTCGTTCCCGACGCGATAACGTTTCAATTTGCCGAGAAAGTATAAAGATTTCCTAGATGTATCCGAGACGAAGTTATTGAAGTCGAACACAGCTAGAAGATAAAAATCCACATTAGTCGTATAAACGTATTGTTGGATAAAATCTTTTCGACCTTTTATGTAAATCTTCAATGTGTCAACGAATGAAGAGTTTTTGCAACAAAGGAGTAAGTCCACATTTTACACATTTCTTGTTATATATCCTACTTTATTTACAAAAGTGTGATCTTTCGCTTGGTGCAAAAAGGAGACAACCCATTCATTGGAAAAATAAAGGTGTTATAGATTTCGAACACAGTGTAAAAGTCTCTTAAAGCAAATATTAGCTGACCATAACTTTATAGTGTATTTAAAACAGTATTTAATTTTTCATTGGTTTTTATTGGTTCACTCAAATTGCCCGAAAGTGGAATTGCCTCGTTATTGCAGCAGACCCTTCAAATGTTATTTTATAAAATCCAAACATTAATTTTTCTCTTAACTAACACTTTGACGTCCACTGCCACAATGTCAGTACAGGTATTGCATTCCGAATTCACTATTCTGCAAATCAACCACAAATATGTTTTCTTAAGTAATTACAATAAAGACAAAATCCAATGTAAAGTTCTATTCAAAAATTTCTAAAAATATTTTTAGAGAATCGAATACACTTCATTTTGTAATACTAAATTATACCTTTGGTTTTACATTTTCTCAATTTATGTACACAAGTTTACTCCTCCTAGATAATGGTCCTAATTAAAAAAAAAAATTAATTTCTTTGCAAAGTATTTTTCGACACGTGAAGAGAACTTACATAGAAAGTCGAAAATATTTTGGCTAAATATATGCTTACATGACTACGTTTATATGGATTTTTTTATTTTTGAACAAGTATAAATTCTTCCAAATATATTATCACGGCTAAAATTTCCCGAGTTCGAAATTGATTTAAAGCAGAAGAGGAATTCTTAGATTTACGACGGATTCTCGGCCGATGTATGCCAATATTTACGCTATGTGCGATGCCTTACCAACACACGTCTGATAGTAAGATTATTCGATAATAAAACAAAAGAGAGACGATAATATAGCCATATAATTGCAATATGCAATTATAAGCAAAAAAAAAAAAAGATAAATTCCTAACAAATACATTTCATAAAAAGGTTTCTTTACAATCTAGGTTTTCTTGGTGACTTATGAAAAACATACAATAATAATAATATTAATAATAATTAATAATAATAATATAATATAATATAATAATATAATATTGATTGTAATTAACTATAACGTCCATAAAGTATTTTCTTCGCCTTTTTTTTTGTACACGATTACTAAAAACATTTCTTCCGCTTCTTGTTGAGAAAATAAATATTAATATTAAATTTGAAATATTATCTCGTTTTTGTTTTTATTCATTTTTTTCATTATCACTGAATCCGCGTCACTTCAACAACTACTGTCTTTCGTTCATGATTACTAATTATAGTACATTATTATAGTCTAAATCGGCAAATCGGCTTGCCTAGTAAGTTTATAGGCCTCTTTTAATAATATGGAACATTGCCGTGTCATCCTCATCCTCTTAGTATTTTCTCCTCTTGACCGTTCCTTCCCTTCGTTTTACCGCACAAGCACAGTTCTTTTATTTTTTATTTTTATTTTTTGCAAATTAGTTGCAAATCTCATAACCTTACAGTATTACTTCTCTGTTTTTTCTTTCACTTTACACTAAGATTCAAAATAAACAGGTTGATCGCTGCTCACAACATTAAAGAGCTTTCTTTTAGAGGCCTGGTTCAAGAGGTCACCTATGGCTACTGGTGCATTGATCGTTCATATCGTACAAAACTTGTGCGATTGTTCTTGATGATTCGACATTACTCAATGCCACACCTGCCAAATGTGGTTCGTACGCTCTGAGGTGCCTAAAATGAAAAAAGAACGGCATTTACAAATGTTATACGAACCACAACTAATTTAATAAATGAGTATACAATTTTCTACGTGACAAAAAGACCGGGAAAACGTTCTAAATATATTATTGACGATTTTCTTTTATACAAATTAATTGACAAAGTAGTTTAAAATAAAATTTTACCTTCTGCCATGGGTTGAATATATGACTAGGTTTCTGAGAATAAGAGCTGCTGTCAAGCGAATACTTTTGGTCACTGGACCTTCGTTGTCGTCCTGTTGAAAAAGAGTAAAGCGATTTAGGAACAGATATACGAAAATCTCAATCGTGTATCAAAGTAAAAATATACAAAAATATATAAAATGAAGTAGTCACACTTTGAATTAGCACCGAAACAAATAATAATGTGCACACATAAGTATGACAATTATTCAATGATATTTGAATTAATTAGTTGCAACAAATTTCAAACATTAGCAATATACAGTAGTGATAAAAATAAATAGAAACACTGACTCGATGAGTGAAGTCTTGTACGAACAGGTTGTAGAAACATTTATATAAAATACCAGCAACAGCACTGGCTTTCCATATTTATACTTCAATACAACGAACATCAAAGCTACTATTTTACATGAATGCATAACTTATTAAACTTATGAATCATGAAATATATATTTCGAATGACGATAGCAAATAATTTAGCGTGAAATAAATTAATTACAGCATGCTACGTAAAAACAGAAAATAAATATTTTCGCTTAAAACCGTTCGTAAATATAAATCTAAAACATTTACATACGTATATTTAATATTTTTAAACAATTTAAGATTATGTTTGGCTCATCTTTAGAAAATAAACAATAACATTCTTGTTTATAATTTGGAATTTCGTTGCTTCGTTCTTAGATAACCATTATTATTTAAATTTTAAAGATGACACAAAACCCAAGGATTAAAATATTATAACAATGTTTAGATAATTGATAAATAATATTTCACTTTCATCAGTGTCTTGCATTACGTTTACAAGACAAATCTTATCTTTGCTATACAATCAAATTCATGAAGAATTTTCTCCAAATGAAGGCCTTGCGTGAAAATACATTTTTATTGCGTTACAAACGCAATGCGTACCCGCTCGATTTCCAAGTTAAATTCTCAAATCACAAAATTAATGCTTTAAAAGATAATCATCCTCCTATTTATAATAAGCACAACAAATATACTCTACATTATGCCGTTCAAAGTAAACATTATACCAACACCCTGTCCGTCGTGAATACTTTCGACTGCGTAAACACATAAAAATTTCAGCCGACGCTAGCTACGAAATGAAAATAAAATGAACTCCATGCTAAAATATATCGAATGTGTAAACATTAAAAAGAAAAAAGGAAAAAAAAAAACAAAAGAAAAAAATGTATATGTAAAATCAGCACGGTGCGGAAACAAAAAGAGAATAAAGCGCAAAAAAAAAATATATATATTAGGCGGCAGGAACAGCGCACAGGAGCTGTGGCTGTGTTGTGGATCGTGAATCCTTTTCAATTCTGAACACGTTTTTTACCTGTTCTGGTGGAGGATTTTGCCCAGGTCTGGGGGAAGAAGAGCTTGTGGTGGCTGCAGCGGGCTTGGTCGGCCTTTGCTGCTTTGCCAAGAGAATAAGAAATTTCATTACATTAACAAAACTCAATAGACTCTAAGAACCATGGGACTATATAGGACTCTTCGAAATAGTGACGTAGATTATACTATATCCGGATGCGTTTATATCTTTCGCGCTACTTGTACGCTATCTCGTGTAATATCTTTGTTTACATTACCACCATGACAGAGAAGTGCTTTGTGCTTTTGTCTCTCTTTTACCAAATTTACCGCTTAGCTTATAGCTAGTTTACTTAGCCAGAAGTATGTAGATTATACGATTGCTACTAACCATTAACTCCTTTGGATTCACGAATTCCAAGGCGTGCCGTTTAATTGCATGGAATGCTGCATTCGGTGCGTAGCCAGGATGATGAGGAGTCGGTGTTGTCGATGTGGAAACCTCGGTTTTCCCGGTTACCGTCAACTGTTTCCTTCTCATCGACATTGTCTGTAAATTTTTATATAATACTTTCGATGTATTTAAATTGATAACATAATCGAAAACAGTTTTTTGTCTATACATATTTTCATATTTTAATGAACCCAAATTTCAGGTCAAAGTGTTCAAGAAAAAGTAAACTATGTTCGGTAACTCTACGTATTCGACTAGTTTGTGTTTGATCGTGACAAGAGATGCTACAAATTTTTGAGAGTAGTAACACCGTGCTTACCTCTGCGTTACAATGCCTGTCGTACAGATGTGTCATTAACGAAAACCTACGCCTTTTCAAGGCATCGCAACTTGCCCAGAGACACAGTATTTCTTCTCCGCTGGTTGGACAGTGTGCCTCGCACACGTGAAGGTAAACTTCGTGCGATGTTTTGAATTGCCTGTACACATTCGAGAAAATTTAGCTTTATTGTTTTCTTAATATTAATTTCTATTATTTTTGCTCCGTTCTAGAATGAGACTATTAATTACCTCAAGCACCCTCGCCATTCGCACAAATAGGCATTAGGATCGATTTTAATCGTGATAGTCTTGTTCTCCGGCAAATTTTGACTTGTAGACGGTTTAGATTCTGGCTCCGTGGAGGTCGAGGAACTGATAGTCTTTATAACTTTAACTGGTTGTTTCGTCGGCAATCCGTGCGTTGCGGCCGCCTGATGTGGCGTGGTGGGTCTGGTGGGCGGCGGTGTCGACGCTGGCGTGGGCGTCACGACTCTAGACGGCACGCTCGTCGACACGGGCGTCTGCTGAGCCATCGCGGGGATCGTGACGGTCACCGTGTTTGGATTCGTTTGTGCTACCGAACTGTTAACTATTATGGAAGTTTGTGGAATCGTGCCCGACGTCGGGACGAGCGGTGGAGGTATGTTCCCGAGTGCAGGACTCTGTAGAATGGGCCGCGATACTTGTGTGACGACTACTTGCTGCCCCTGAGGCGTGACCGCCACCATTTTTTGTTGGGTAGGCTGAGTGGCTGCTTGAGGTTGCAAAATGATAATTGTCTTCGCGCCTGTTCCCTGCTGCTGCGTCGTCTGCGCCACTAGAACAGTTTGCGCTTGACCCTGGACCAGCGTCGTCTGTGGCTGAGCTAAAACGTAATTCTGACCAGGTACGCCACCGGAAACAACGTATTGCAATTGTCCTCCAGCTCCTTGCTGCAGCAGAACTTGCTGTGGCTGTGTCTGTCTCCCCTTCACCGTGGCAGTCGGTATGATAACTTGATTGTTCGGTTGAATCGTTTGCTGTACTACTATTTGCCTCGGTGCCGCGACGATAAGTTGCTGTTGATGTTGTTGCTGCTGTTGTTGCAATTGTTGCTGGTGCTGTTGCATTTGTTGCTGGTGGTGTTGTTGCAACTGCTGCGCCTGCTGCTGAAGTTGTTGTTGCGCCTGTTGCTGAAGCTGCGCCTGCTGTTGGAGTTGCTGCGCCTGTTGTTGGAGTTGTTGTTGCGCCTGCTGCTGCAATTGCTGCTGAGCCTGCTGTTGTAGCTGATGTTGCGCCGCCTGCAACGATTGTTGCTGCGACTGTTGCAACGACTGTTGAGACTGCTGCTGCGACGATTGCTGTTGCTGGTTAATTTGATTGGCGAATATATGAGGTTCTTCCTTTATCGTCGGAGGAGGTTCTTCCTTAATAACATTTACATTAACGTTCTCGTCGAGGTCTGTTTCATCCTCTATACAATCCGCAGCCAGAGCAGCATAAAGATTCGCGGCGGTTGACGAAACGGTTGCCTTTTCACTGTCCTTGTCGTCATCTTGCTCTTCAGACTTTATACTCGAGACGGTGGATTCAGCGGTCGTTGAGTCAACGGCGGGATCCGGCGACATCGTACCGTTGGAATACTTTAATTTCTTCGCGTCTATCTCGTCGGATTCACTGGCCGCCCTCTTCATACCTCTCGGCGGTTCGATCAAAGTATCTTCAGACACCTCCGTCTGTATAACGTTACCTTCCTCTACTTCTGCTTTCATTTTAATGTCGGTTGGAGATTCTTTTAGTACTTTTTTAATGTGGTTCTCTACCAGGTCCATTCCTTTCTCGTTGATCGAATTCTTTCCCAGGACGCCGTTCAAGATGGGTTCTTTCTCGACCTTTCTTTCCAGCAGATCCGCGAGCATCATACTTTGCAAGGGTTTCTCTTTAGACGTTACACTGGACGAATCTTTTGAAGATCCATCCTCCTGTACGTCGATATCCATGTTACTCGGTGCACCGTTTAAAAGAATTCCTTCGAAACTCGTTAAGGAGTTCTCTTCTTCGACCCCGACACCGGAACAATCCCTGCTGCCACCTATACCGCTGCTAGACGCTAAGGAATTGTTGGTCGAGTCCGAGTCCTCGGCGATGGACGTGCAAGTGGAACGTTGATTCGTCTTGTTCATGGTGGCTGCGATTGTTGTTGGAGGCCGACATACTTTTATCGTGGACGATATGTGATTTTCTGTCGAGTTCATAACCACAGTGGAAGAAGTCGTCGATGTTGCGATTTGGTTGACATTTTCATTATCATTTATTTCAGTCTGAAAAGAAAGGGAATTTTTATTCGTACGGACATTCAAATCAATTTGACCAATACTTTATTTAGAAATTGTGTAAACGTACCTTGTCGCAATTATTAGTCATAATAAATTTGGCTCCGTTAAGCCTTTGTATCTTTTTGGCAGGAATGGGTGTAATAGCTGGCTTTTGTTTCGAGTTGATGGGAGTCTTTGGGAGTATTGTTGATGTAGTTATGTTTGAGGGTGGCTGTGATACGTTAATTAACTGTTGCTGCAGTAGCCTCTGTTGCTGTTGGCGTTGCGCAACCTACAGAAGCGATACAATTTATAGATCCGCGATCACGTTTAATATTCTTCTAAACAATCTCTTTTTGTATTCAATGTCTTCGTAACTACTGTCAGGAAAAGATAATTTCACACTTGAAAACAACATGCTTTTGTTAGTAGAATACAAAACGTTATTAATATCATCACTTAACTCAAAAATTACGTTGTTAAAAAATATTAAAAAAAACTTTCAAATAAAGTAAATAAAGAAAAACAATTTTGATCCCTTTAGTGTCCTTAAAATCTCAAAAACTATTTCAAGAAATATTATGCACTTATCATAGCATTTACAGGCAAACAAAAATAAATGAGATATTTAAGTACAGGCTTGGTAAAGACTGATGAAATTGTTTTCATTCGTTTACTACAAGCTTTACTTTTAATTAGAAAATATATAATCCAAAGGTTGTTTCAGTGAAATTCATGTTCCAAAAATAAAAGATCGCATAACAGAAAACTAATACCTGCCTACTTCAAGACGCAAATATTACGAAACTGTTTAGAATCAAATTTGTTAAGACGTACATTCATTAAATACTTCCAAACGAGATTTTATATCCTGGCAAAATACTTTTTCTATGATATAACGTTGAATTATTTTAAAAATTTCTTATACTTAGCAACAGTATACCTCGGTGTTTTAAATTTAAATTATGAATAGATTTCATATCAACATTCTTATCCAATATAGTAACTATTATAGATGTTTCATAAACATGCATTGCCTCGTATAAATATTCAAAGTTCTACTTTGATAGAAGATTCTCATACGCAAGAACTATTTCCTCGATCGAGTTATGATCCTACAGGGCCGTTTGAGCTTAAGATTCTTTCAAACTGTAACTTTTAGAAATTTAACTTATGATCAACTTTGATTTACTAGACAAGATTATTGCCAAAAACACACTTCGTATCAAACTCAATGATCTACAGTGCAGTGCACAAAAATAAACGATCTTGTTTTATATGTAACATTATTTCGTATAAATTTCATATTAAGCCCTTATCTTAGTAATTCTGAGGGCGTTTTATAATTTTGTCCATCGGTTTAGTTACACGCTGCACTGTACAACTCAAAAAAAAAAATAAAAAATACTACAGTTTTCATTGTTAATGTACAACAATGATACCTGGTTGCTGGTTATTAGCTGGTTGGCACTGATGCTGGATGCGATGCTAGCAGTAGTGTTTGTTACACAGGCAGTAGGGGTAGACACACAAGTCGCAGCAGTACTGGGCATGCAGTCGCTGCTAACCGTTACCTTAGTAGCCAGAAGGCTTTTTATTATGGAACTGGATGTAGTACCACTTCGGTTATCTTCCTTTGCAACTACCTGGACAGTTTGAGAATGTTGTTGTACTTGCTGCAACTGTTGTTGTTGTTGCTGTTGCGGTTGCGCTTGGGCTCCACTACACAGCAACGCTTGACTTAGGTGAGGATGCGATACCGACACCTAATCAACAACAATTATCGTAACGTGAATACAGTATCGTTATAGCACATTATACGACAACAGAAATGTTACAATATAGAAGCATTCATTCGTTTATTTTTAAATAGAAATTACAAAGCAATAAATTTAAATGACTAGGTGTTATTGTACTCTAACAGCATCCCAAATATTTTAAAGAGATTTTGCGGAATCTATACTTGCTACATCGCGCGGAACACGATTAAATGAAAATAAAACACTATATCGTGTCAAACAGATAAGGTATAATAGTTAAAAACACTCTTATAATAGCGATGTATTTATTACTAAGCATGATATGAATCAAGTAAGACTCCTTAAATTAGCGAACTTAAAAATAGAATTTATGCTTGTTATAAGGATGTAAAGTAGTAAGAATACTAATATTATACCGTAATATAAATTACAACTGCTTAGGAGAAATTTCAGTGAAAATATGTATACTTGAAGAATGCAAAATCTACTTTGATCATGCAACAATAAAATTTCTTAGTTGATTTTGTATCTAAACGAATACTATGCATTGCTTATTATACCCGGAGAAAAAATAAATATATATGTAAAATTAACAAGACCAATATACTTATTAATGTTACGTATATTATTATTTGATACCGTATTTACTATTATTACTGATAAAAGTGTGAAGGATAGAACTGTAAGCTTTGGTATGTGTACAATCAACTACATCAAGCGAATTACTTCAATTTCAAAATACAAGAAGGTATTTAATTGGAAAAAAATATCGTTCACATGTGTTTGCATATATATTTAACACATATTCATTCGCCAACTTCAGGCTACGATTATCTAACGCTTATTCAAAATGAATAAAGATGAATTCTATTATACAGGGTGTTTCAAAAACACACGTTACACTACATGAATGAAATTCCGTTCGATTTCTGCATCGTTCTATGCCGTTTAATTTCTTTTTTCTTTTGTATCTCTAACTGTTTTACAGGACACCCTGTATATGTTTCTATTTATCTGCGTGCATATGTAGCAACGGGGACACAGAGGACGTGAGACATGCAAAATGTAATGTTGTTAAGGAAAGCCCATTATTATAATAGCGTCGTGAAACCATAACCAAAAATAAGATTCAAGGTCATGAGTGGTAGAGAGAATGGTAGAAAGCTAGGACTTGGACCCACCTGACTTTTAGAATCAACCTTGGTGACTGGATTTTGGGATTGATTCGAAGTATTTGAAGTAGTGGATGGTGGTTTGGGCGGAGCAGATAATTGGGCTTTCAGGATGGGTGACGCTGGGGCGGGGGTTTTTTGAGGCCCAGATGCAGGATTGTCTAGGGCCGTGCTATCAGGAGCAGGACTTATACTCTTGATTGTACGCTGTTGTACGGGATGCACCTTTACTGGAGTTGCGTTGAGTGCTGGAATTGGAGCTGTGTTAGTCCCAACTGCAGTTTGGCTCGGATAAGTTACTTGGGGAGGTGTGGCCCGTACTCTGATTCCTTCGTAATACTGAGTACCAGTTGTTTCACCTTTCAATGGATTTGGTCCAACGCTTCCACCAAATACAGATCTGTAATGGACAAATTTACATTGGTAAGCTTTGTATTTGATCTGATAAAATTCGTGTTACCGCAGGACACTGAATCTAGTTACCTAACACATCTTGGAAAATGAAGCGGAGCAATTACGCCTCTTCTGCCAATCTTTGTGCAGCAACCTAGATACCTCTTGTACAATTCTTCTTGTTCTATACGTACACCCGGTGCAAGTTCAAAAGTAGCTCTTAACCAACCTAGAGCAAATTGCTCGTTTTCTTGTATAATTTGTTGGTGCGCGTGCTGCTGTTGAAGAGAATTGTTTGTCTCCACTGCTTCTACGCACAGATTAAAACAATAACAAGTTTATAACAAATTATCAATGCATTTGATTGTACAATAGAAAACCACTGTCTGGATCGTTTTTTTTTGTGTGTTATTTATAAATATCAATGTTGTCTTCGTACGTACTGTGCGTCGTAGATTTGGTTACAGTCGCAGCTGGAGTTGTTGGTCGCGACGGTGCTGGGCTAACGGGAGCTGGTGCTGCGGTAATCGTTGCTGGAGTAGTTGGTACAGACGCGGACACTGTCGTAGCTGGAGCTGCGGCGGTAACCGGAGTGTTCTGAGTAGTGTTCGGGGATGCCGCTACAGTGGACACTGTTTCGATCACTCTCATCAGAATACAAGCTTTCGGTCCATAACTCTGCGCTTCTACGGTTACAAGGGCGACTAACGTGTCAATAGCTCCGCGTACCCGCGCGACGCTAGTACATGGCCTTTCACCCAAAGAAGTCAAAGCATACAAACATTCCAAGGTATATACTAAAAGAGCTATGTCGTTCAGAGCTAAAAACCTGCAAAACAAACACAAACCACATGACACTTTCTCCGTATTACGTATCACATAAAAGTTAGAATGGTACGATAATCGAAATAAATTTACTCAAAATAAACTTTATATAGAAACAATGAAATATATTTTCGATCAAAGTAAAGAATACGTGTACACCAAAGTTTAGTTACAAAACAATCACCTGCATATAAGATCATAAACATTGTCTTCTAATCCAAACGTAACGATTTCTTCGTTGCTGTCTTGTTGGCTAATTTTATTAAGCACCTCCAAACAGGAAATAACAATAAACCTGTCTTGGGATTCAATTCCCTTCGCCACGCATGACAACACAACATCCGTTATCCTCTCGCCAGCTTCTTTTAAGATTATTTCATTTGCTATGTTCCCTAGTATGTCGAACCCAAGCTGATGCAAATTACTCCACCTCGCTCTCACGCACAGTAATACGAATCTCAAGAAACACCGATTCCTCCCTAATACGGCAGCGTTCTCTGGTGTAAAACTTAGATTCCGTAAAATAGATGCGATTTGCAGTACTCGTTGACCATAAGGATCTTGCGTTCCTAGCGTTCGTCCAACACAAAACAAGTCTTTGTCCTCCTCCTCAAACTTTATGGAGTTTTGGTTCTGATCTTTCAAATTCTCATCCTGATGAGATCCAATCGGATCCAATCTTGGACAATCTGGAAGTACCTAAAAGCATAACACAAATTTTTCCTTTATTCGAAAATATTTCATGTTGGCCTCAAGAATGCTCGAATACCAACTACATTTTGCTAAACTTGTACTAACATTTCACATTTGATTTGAAAGGTAAGTGAAGTCTTTTCATCGCTCTTATGAATCAAAAGAAAACGAAAGAGTGAATATACAGAAACGAGCGAGACTATGATATTCCAACGATGACTAAAATCGTGCCGGCAAAGTCAAGTTTCCTTTCAAAGCAAAATCCGCGAGTTATCGAGAACCTGGTCGATTATTTTATCCTTACCCCGTCAATGTCCATCGACGTAGAAGCCTCATCGTTCTCTGTCGGCGCGGCGCTTTTGTTCTGTTTCTCCTTCTCTAAAATTTTCCGCCTGGAAAAGGTCTTCGGGCTGGTGTTCGGTTTCTTCATGAACGTCCTCTCGTTCGTGAGATCTATCACGTCCTGAGAGTCGAGGACGTCCGACCAGAAGGAATTGATCGAGTAATTCCTTACTCGGGAGTAGACCTCGATGAAGAGCTGCCGCGTGCCCGGCGAATCGAAGACACCCGCGTGCGCCAAAAGAATGTTTACCAGACGGGGATATTTGTCGAGACGCAAGATATGCTTGCCCTCGTTCGACAGTAACGTGCAAACGTTGATGGCGAAGTCCTGCTCGTTGGGCAGCGGCGAGAGGAGAGAGAGTGCGAGCTTATCGTAGTTGGATGGCTTATAAAGGTCCGATGAAAGGCCATTGTATTCACGAAGAGATTCTGAAAATGAAATACAACACGAAATTAACTCGATCCTAAATTTCATGTACTTTTAAAATTATACAGGGTGATCGGCCACCTCGGGGAAAAATTTAATGGGAGATTCTAGAGACCAAAATAAGTCGAAAATCAAGAATACCAATTTCTTGATTGAGGCTTCGTTAATAAGTTATTAACGTTTAAATTTCAAATCATTCCGAAAAAATTATTTTTGGTTGCGGGGATCAATTACAATCATTTTTTATGAATACACATACCCTCGAAATCCCACGCACTTTCGAGACAAAAATTCGAGTAGGTAGACAAATTTTTCGATAAAATTAAAAAATTTCAAATCGTTCTGGATAAATTATTTTCGGTTGCGGGGGTCAATTACAATCATTTTTTGTGAATACACATACCCTCGAAATCCCACGCACTTTCGAGACAAAAATTCGAGTAGGTAGACAAATTTTTCGATAAAATTAAAAAATTTCAAATCGTTCTGGATAAATTATTTTCGGTTGCGGGGGTCAATTACAATCATTTTTGGTGAATACACATACCCTCGAAATCCTACGCACTTTCGAGAAAAAAATTCGAGTATGTAGACAAATTTTTCGATAAAATTAAAAAATTTCAAATCGTTCTGGATAAATTATTTTCGGTTGCGGGGGTCAATTACAATCATTTTTGGTGAATACACATACCCTCGAACTCCTACACACTACTTTCAAGAAAAATGTTCACTTCCGAAAATATAATGTGAGATTAGAAATGTTGCCCTAAAATTTCAAGCATATGTTTAAAACATGATAACTCCTGAACGGATTGGAAGATTTTAATATTTCAAACTGCAAACGACGACAATTTTAGTGAAGAATATGTAGAAATTCCAAAAATATTCGAAAAGTTGATCCTTGACCCCGCAAAATGAGAAAACCCCGATAAAAATGATCCAATTTTCAAACGGCCATAACTCCTACAATAGTTAATATATATCTTTGAAATTTTTTTCTGTAGTAGAGCTCATGGATACCTATAAATATGGATACTAAAAAGTATTAGACAAAATTTCCGTACGACGTCAAACAAATTTATGAAAAATGAAAAACGAATTTTTAAAAAATTTCAAATCGCTCTGGCTCGCGGACAGCAACTGACGATCGTGATTGAGTTTTAGTTCCTATCAGTACGCCACAAGTGTCGATCATGATTCTTATAACCTCTGTTACAAAGCAGTTTAGCATCAGTCATGTCTGTTTACTACGCGTTGATGCCTGCCGTTTGGATCCGGATTTCGTCGAGCTAAATGGTACGAGAAGGGGTTAAAAATTTATTATACAATAATAATAATCGTAACTTTTCTTTTCAGGTATAAAAGAAAATTGGAGGATGCAAGTACTAAGCGACTAATGACGCTCTGTGCAACTGGTGTGAACGACAAATCACGAGTGTAAGTAGGTTGTACCTCGGCCAGGGTCAGCCTTCTACGAAGCAACGAAAATACCCTGATCGGACGAAACTATTTGCACAACCGTGATCTTCAATACCAATCTTTGCAATAATTGTCAAAATTTCAACATATTAACAATCGATCGCGTAGATTTCGTACGATTAGCACAAACGTAGGATTGTGCATTTACAAACACGCAATAAACGTGGTTACATTAGCTGTATATTATCTAATTTCAAAATTCAGGTAAAACATGTTATTTCATGGGAATTATGGTATATTTATTTTCACATTATAATTTGGGCCAATATCGAGAACATCTTTGAGATATGGAAAGTAAGGTTAGATTACAAAAACGCAATTCGTTGAATCTAGATATTTGACTCTGCTTTCTCGTGTTTCTGAATTTGTATTTTTCCCGATTATTACAACGAATAAATAAATAATAATCCTTGGGTCGTACTACGCGAGAGTTCGAAAATCATGTGCATGAAAAGGTTAACGTACTGCTCGAGTATACCTGAAGCAGATCGTTATCTTGTTCTACCTATTATATAATATTAATGTCAAGTTGCCCGCGAATCAACTTTCGTTTTGGCAAAGTTCTCGTTCGACAGAAGAGAAAATAAATCGCGTACGATTTCGAACAGCGAATAATTAGCATAGATTACGATTGCGTGTATTTCACACAGCGGTTTAGACGCGTCATGAATTGTTCCTTTCTAACGGCATGGCACGAACGAGCACGAACAAACGTGAAACGACTCGAAGAGACTGGAACCAGATTGCCTCCTGCAATAGGGAATATTCAAATAGTTTATGCGTAGTCGAATACTATAAAGGCGCAAGATCATTAGTGTCATCGTTTTGAGGTTAGTACAGCAGAAAAGTGTAAACGAAGGTTAGGAAAGAACGTTGAACTGAAATGAATCGATTTACGGTTTCTCTCGTCTCTACTCAAATATTATGAATATTCAGTCGCTTGGTCAGCGTATAAAATATTCGAATTATATTCGCCGAGTATTTGAACCATTGAATATTCGAACGCAGAAAAAATTCGACAAGCCCCAGCCGTGGCCTGCAGAGAGCAATATTATCGCGAATCGCGGTAATCTTTTCAGCCACAAAACCGCGATCAATAGCACGTCCCGGGAGAAAATGTTACCTTTTGGCGGAAACTACGGAATCCGAAGGTCTGACGGCGGAACTCGGTGAGGAAAGGTAAAAAAAAAAAAAAAAAAGAAAAAGAAACAGTGAAAAAAAATGAGCAAAAATGATCATTCATAAAATGAATTGGGGAAAACTACTAACATTATGTAAAATATACAATTGATATATCGACTATGTCGATTCAATAAGGAAAGGTCAAACCTGTATGGTCACCGATTTAATTCTCGTTATTTATAAAAATATTTAACATTGAATTTTTGGATTTCTATACAGGTCATCTGTCTGTAAATGTGCAGGCAAATGTGCAGTATTGCAGAGTTACGTTAATAAAATTTTTAACCGTACAGTTTCACCGTAGTCAGTTGTAAAAGTAAAATCGAAGTCAGCGTTCGATTCGTACCGTTTGTGCATCGATACACGAACTAGAGGATCGCGTTTAATAACCACAATTGCTTCTCGTGTAACGTCTATCAGCCGCGATTACTGTATTTCAGTTCGCTATACCACTTCGCTCGACGTTCGACTTGAGATTGAATGCGAAATAACAACGTCAAGTCGAACTCGCCTCTGTTAAATATAATTAACCTCCAGCGTTCGCTGCTATAGAAAAATCAAAAAATAAATACTGATGCGAAAACGTCCTTCCACCAATCGCTATAAATACACACGACACGTATTCGCGTGGAAGGCGGCCTTTCTGATGCTCCTGATGCGCGATGTGGACGCATACACACGCGTTTCGTGCACCTGCAGCAGTGGTACGATATTTTTGCACCTGAGTAAAAGAAATACAGTTTGTAAACATTATAAGTAAGCTGTGCCCTTCGGTACGACTGAACCAGGGATGATTAAAACATAAATAATCGTTCGTCCATAAAATATTTCACAATTATTCGACTAAATAAATTGCTGTACATTGGTTTCATTGGCTATCTATTACTCAATTAAAAAAGTTCGATTAATCCCAACAAACAAGGCATTAATTTGTAAATTACATATGTTATGGAAATACCTTTTAAAATTCATTTTGCCTATTAATGGGCTGGACTGATTCTTATCAATAAAAAAAATACACTGTGTCTTTGCCCAGCAAGGATTTCTAGTTCACGATTTCTAGTCCGATCGAAATGGCAATAGAAAGTTAAATTTCTTCTTGGACTTTTTAGATTTACAGTTCAAAGGAGTAACGTGTAATTAATGGGATTCAATGTACGCTTTGCCCGTTATCACGGAATGTTAATGAACAACATGGAACGTTTGGTACGTAACTGGAATTATTTCCCATTCTTCTCGCGATAACAGCGATGGGGGAGTACACGGCGGTTGGTTTTCTTTTCCTGCCTCCTGTCAATGCACTCGTGTATAAATGAACACGGCCTTACAAGAGAGACCGATAAGCGATAGAAGAGTAATTTAAGCCCCATTGTGTTCATCGGTTATAAACAATAAAGAGAACGAAGAGAAAGCACGATTGAACTGTATAGGCCTCGAAACGCAATTATCTTTCGTATATACAAAATAAACAGTTATAACCCTTTGTGGTTCGAGACATTTTTAATATTTCGGGTAATTATACGGATGAGGACCTTCCTCTCTAATCTCAATGATCTTGAAATATGTTGCCAGGCACAGTACTCTAAGTAATCTTTTCCTACAAATGTTATCGTCTTCAATTCCATAAATGTTGGAAACATTTTTTGATACAAAAATAAAAATATTAGTTTCACGGAAAATCCATCCCTGGTTATAAATGGAAACCGACTAATTGCCAATTTTATATTAAGAATACAAAATTTTATTTTTATACAAAAAAAAAAAGAATATTTCAGCTTTAAAACGCAACGTTTTTAAACTTTTAATTGCTACCGAGCACACTATTAACAGGCTCTCTGTCGCATAGTTCCCGGAGATATAATTTTTGTCGTAATACGTATGAAAATAATGTTTTCAGCAATTACACAAACTGGCATGGTAGTCGACGTGTTATAAAATTGGCAAATAAATAATGGCACATGATTCTGCTAACAGTTGCTCGACTAATTATTTCCAGTAACGTGTAAGTACAGCAACTGTCTATAAATAACCATATGTATCCTTAACAAGATTTTTTACAATTTGATCGACGAATTAATAACGGAAGAGGTTAAGGGCATCGTTTCGTAAAGGAGTGATATGAGAAACGAACAGGAGGCGCTGCGCACGCGACGGTGTTAATTGGCATCAACAAAGCAGTGGTTCTTAATCCTTTGGGGCCCGTGATTGAATTCTGCCTGTGCGTGCGCGATCGCTGCAGTGGTGTGTAAATCCGCGGTCGTCGCTTATCTACTGTATAAACGCATCGCAGCAGCTGTAAACATCAACGTACTACTAAAAAACTTGTTCAGAATATCGTGCTATAAGATGTTTCAGAGTCATCAAAATCATTCACCTGTTTATTATACTATCTGTAAAATGAGATTCAGGGGGTGGTAGCACCCGGTAGCCTCCTTTTTGATCCGTGCCTGACAGCAGTGAATGTAAACGATGACAAACGCTGTAACGAGTCACGCCGCGGTGGCATGTGCAGGGATAGAGAGCATCCGTGTATCGATGGCACGCGGTCTAAACGTCACCAGAGTGGTTGGGGGTTCTCCTGGATGACGCCAGGTTTCGGACGACGCAACGAGTGAGAAAGAGGGGGTGGTGATAGGGTAAAAAGTGGGAGAGGGGGCACGCGTATAGCTGAAAACGTTGGTGGGGTCGGATTCGGAAGTTACGGAGCATCGCGCAAGCGCAGAGGCTGCCGTATTACGCTGGGAGAGGATCGAGGATTCGCGGAACACCTATCCCCGCAAACGCTTATTGATTGTGACGCTCTAGCATCGTATCTCCTTCTCTGTCTTTTTCTCGCTCTTTCGTTCAGGTTTCCTCTTTAGCTCTTGTATGTATCTTTGATTTTCTGTCTATTTTGCTAGCTATCGCGCGCTTTCTCGGATTTTCAACGTTCCTTTCTCATTCGATTCTATTACAATGCATAATAAAATAGTGTTCGACTGCGATAAATAGACCAATCGACCTAAGTTACGCGACGCGCGCTGTTCCATCGGTAATTTGACATTTTCGTTGTCACGTGTATGTGATTATACAAAGAGACAGGCAATCGTACGGTAGGGGGTTAAACAAGGATTTATTCCGACCCTGGATCAACACAGATCGAAGATTTGCCATCGCCACGACTTAACTCGGCGCGGATAAATCGAAAGCAGCCGTCGATCGTCGGTAAAGCTAGGCAGAAGCGTCGAAATACAAATTCAATGACTACGCGTTACGAATACATAACGAATGGTTTAACGCGCGCGTCACGCGACTTCGATACCTCCATATAATGTTACGCATGAACGCGAATATGCAGTGCGAGACAAGGTGGGATTTTGTACACGGATAACAAGCTCCTTAAACGCGGGCATCGATTTTGTGGCGCACGCCCATTATTTTATCGCCGCAATTGTCACCCGTGGCGATTTCAAAATGATGCCAAAACCGATTTTCAGCCAAATCGCCACGATCTTTAAACTAAATTGGAGATGTACAATATCCCTGCAATTTTATCCTTGCACTCTTCCAATGCAACCATTTCACGGCGACGATCACGTATGCGTGACTTCGATGGCCGGCGACATGGAGGTGTCATGTTTATTTCAAATACGAAACAAAACGAAGAGACAAATTTTAACGTATTCAGGATAAAAGTTAACTAACTGATATAGTCCGCCGACAAAGTGTTAAGATTCGAATAAAATGTTGGTCATCTCTGACCGAAACCCGAAACGTTCGCCACCACGACCGTTTTTCTGGTCTGCTCTGTATCGCTCGGATGTGTGGGGGCGAAAGGAGCGTAGAAAAGCGACACAGAGAGGTGAAAAGAGAGTGGGGTGGGCTGAACAGTTCGGTGTGACGAAGCTGTGATAGTCGATCGTACGCATGCGCATGAAATATAGACCCGCGTTCCGACAGTCGGAGCGCGGCTACGGAGGTGTATGCGCGGCTCTATGTGTGTCATGATTATTGCCCATTAAATTATCTCGCGCACGTTGTGCGCGACTCTGCTCTCGCTCGTGACACACGGTCTTGCGGTCGTGTGCACGGGTAAATATATGCGATATGTATAGATATAAGAGGGGACCCCCTCCCAGTATATCTATATATCAACGTGTATCTGTATTCGCGGTACACGTATAAGCGCGTTTATTCCCAGCCAGACTGGCTCTCTATCTCTATATTCCTCTTTCGCCCGACAACAGCTCCACAGAAGCACGTCAATAACCCGTTGCCGCCTCGACGTGCTGCATATAGCGCATTTATAGCAGCGAGGCCCGCGCACATGTGCTCTTCGCGGCTGCCAACACACTTACCGATGCTTTTTTCACGGAACGAGTTTTCGTTTCGGGGGCTTTCACCTGTTTCTACTGCGCCTCGTGCGATTCCTCCAGCGAGCGAGCCTTTGCGCGCGCGTCACAGACGGCACTTCAGTTTCTCACCGCGTTCGGCTTACAACCATGCTCGTTCGCTCTGCGTTTCGCGCGACATCTCCTCTATCTCCTCAAGTCTATTTAAACAATTTATCGTCGGTTATTAAACGCAGCATTCGATCATCCTGGGTATACAAATTTAGTTATTCGGAATTCGTATCCTTCGTCTCGCTTAACGATATCAATTTCGTTTCCTAACCTCACTTCGTCGTCATTCTGACACAGGAAAGAGAACACTAGCATACATTAATTTTTTAAATTTCTGTTTCATTTTACTTTTTTTGAAGTACAGTGTCGTATCAACCGAGATTAACAGATGTTGATTCGTAAATCGTCAACGACGAATTACCAAGAAACGCGAAACGATAATGCACGACGCATGCAACACGCTGCTCGGTTTGAAACTAATTGGGGCAGGATGTAATTACACGAGGAAGTATTTATCCTTTATTTTTTTTTTTCATGAACGCAGAATTGGTAATTGAACACCAAGCGAAACAATAGAATGTTCCGAAGATTAAACGTAACGATATACAAGGTGTCCAGAGATAATTCCTCTCAGAATAGGAAATTGCAAGTGTGCAAAAAAACTTTGTATGAATCTTGATACGAAGACGCAGAAATTATGAAGCGAGCAACAGCGTGAAAGTAAAAAAATGTTCGATAAAATTTATTGCGACGCTTTCCAAAGTGTCGCACGGACCAATTCTACCCAGAGAAAGCTACGGATACCGGATCGTCGTGAAAGAACCAGCGGAGTCGGTTGAGCAAACTATAGTGAACCACAACGCGTGCATATGTTTGCTTGTACTTTATTTCTTTAGAAAACTGTAGAGATTAACACTATTTTTTAAAAATATTTTCCCAGGGTAAAATTGTAGGGTTGATGGAAAATACCGATCGTTGGGTCTAGGGATCGTTACCTTCGTGCGTCTAGGGGACTTTATTCTTAGGGACTTGGTCGCTGGTGAAACCTCGTAACACCGGCCAAACGAATTGTTCTCCGTAGCAGCGTGGTCTTTTTTGTCAACACAAATAGGCCGCAAACGTTGGACGAAAAACTCCTGACAAACGGAAATTGCTAACGTAGCGAATTATTGAACCGTGGCGCACGCACGCTTACCCTACTCCACACACGTACACGCACACGTGGCTGTTCACTAGCCAGAAAGAGAGAGAGAACGCGCGTGCGCGCGCGTGTATCGACGGTAAGCGAGTAAAAGAGAAAAATAGAGGAACAATGCACAGTTGGAAAACGCATTTGAAAGTCGTTCGAGCGTGTGGACGTGCATGCGAAATGTATCGCGGCGGCAATGTAACGGATCGTAAATTCAGCGGGTTCGGTTCGGCAAACGTTATGGGGTTTTGCGTGGCAAAAATGTAATTGGAGACACACCGTTGGTCACCAAGATTTCGCTATTCCGTACACTGCATAAAAAAAAGCGATCGTAGAAACTGATGTTACGGAGAGCCTGTAAGGGGACACGAAGATACGGCGAAAGGGGAGTGAGTATCTAAGCGTGTTCGTTCCGGACTTGTACGTGGAAGTAGAGGTAAAAGGTATTGGCCGCTCAAGGTCACTCTTCCCACTGCGGATCATCCCAGGCAGCGTTAGCCATTTTTGCTTTTACGATCTTTCGTCGCGGGGCTCTTGTCGCAGACGTGTAATAAAAATGTACTGATTCTGTTAACACCCTGGCATACAATAACAATGCGTTAAATTCTTGCACCCTATTTTATTTAAAAAGTTCAAGATGCTCCCCGTCAATTGCCTAAATACTAAAATCTCATCGAATGTCGAGGACATTCCTAGAACTGAGAAACGGACAGTCGACGCGTTGCCCAGATTTCAGAACAGCCTTCTAGCTCTTGTGATTTTAAGTTCTCTGTTGCGATTTATTGCAAGGTATTCACGCTGATGTCATGAATCACTGAACGCCAATCATAGTTTTTACATGATCAGCCGGTCGGAGACCTCTGAGGCTGTCTGCGGTGCTAGTGAAATGTAAGAATCGTTTTCTAAACAGAGACAGCTTGTATCAACACACGAAAGCTTCCAACGGCTTGTATGGTACGAAGGATCAGACACGAAGGGAACAGAAGAGTAAGGTTCAATTACCTGCGACATTGTGTTGATGATGATTATACGTAAGAGGAACGGAGTGTAATGCCCTGGCAGACCACTTTCTGTGTCTGGAGTCCTCGTCATCGTCGTCGGCTTGTTGGCCGTCCTCTCCTAAGAAATGCACCTTCTCGTACCTGTCCAGATACCTGCAACAAGGTGCAAATCTGTCAGACCTTGAACAAGGGAAACATCTGGCCAAACGCAATACTACAAATTATAAGAAACATCTCAGCACCGCCATTCACATCGCTTTTTTAAAATATATGATATCTTGCTTATATTTGCTTACGACAGAATTTGTTGAAAATTCAATTTAAAAATATTTTTATTCTATACGAATTTTCGACACAGGCACGTAAATAAATAAATAAATAAATAAAAAAAAATTGCAGATAGAAACACGACTTCGACGTGAGCAAAGCTGCTGGTAATAGCCAATAATAAAAAAAACCAATGTATAGCAATTTATTTGCGACGTCTATTCGATCAAGCGGTTGAATTTTTATTTGTTCGTCGCGAAATATTTCACCCTATGATTGAAATTTTTATTTTTATTTAACGAGAAACGGATGACAACTTGTTTACCTTTATTTTCGTTACTCGACATTTTTATTTAAGCAAGACTTCGTTGTCTATCCTTCGCGCGGGGTTTTCTCTCCGTCTGATCAACCTAACTATGGACGAACGAAATAAAATACAGATAAACAGTTCGAACGCTTATTTGTTTTGCCAGGATTCTCACGTTTTCTTTCCGTCGTACGAACGAACGAAAACCTCTCGGTCGAAAAAAGGAAGAATTGCCGAGCATACAATCGAGTCGAAGACAATCGTTTCTCTGTCCCTGACTTTGCAGATATAAAAGAGAGCCGAAACTCGACGGAATACAAATGCACGGCAGTCCTTCTGTTCTCTTAACGAATGGTAATAGCCGAAGAAAATATGACTGGAACGCTGCCTTTGACAACGTCCATTACACTTCTCCCTCTTCGTGTGTTTCACCGGGACACCCGTTCCTTTGTTCGTTAGAAACTTTTTAGTCTCGACACCCGTACCAACCCCCAAAATTCGCCTGGAAAGACCCTTGTCATCGCCCGGAGATCCCACACTCTTTAGTGGCTATGGCGTGATTAATAACGAGGGACAAACTATACGATTCAAATTATTATACTTGGCCAGCGATTACAAACGTAACCTATATAAATATTTTTCATGTATTAAATTTCTTTACAATCCACCTGCAAAACACATTCAGTTGATATACGTGTTTCTAATACTGAAACTTTCAAGTAATCGTTTCTCGGAAGAATGCGAAACTGTTTTATATTATTTTCATTCTAAGCGATCAATTAAAGGATTAAACCAACTTCACAAATTAATGAATGTACATAGGTATTATCTTTTTTTTCTCACTTTCATCGTGATATCTTGCTGGAAGATGTATTATTTATGACCGCCCGCTATACTATTCCATTATCAGAATAAGGAATAGTACGAGGTTTACGTTAACGTCGTTATTTCACACATTGCACACAGAATCGTAGATCTGTATCTTTTATTTCACTAATGTTTTGCGAAAGAGATACATAAATTTGTAAGTTTTTACATTTGTGATGATATACATGGTTGCATCCTGATTTCTAGTTGCAAAGTAATCACAGTAAACACACGAGGCGAATCTGCGTTAACAATTAATTTTAATTAACCCTTCGAAGCCTGAGAATAATTTTGTCCGAAGCAATTGCGAGCTTTTTCTAAATGTTCATAATATTTCTATTTTACTTTTTATCCATGACAATTTTACTCTCATTGACGTGGATGATCGAGACTCTACTGCATAATCGATGCAAGTAAGACAGCGAACTTGTCGTTTCATGTTCAACGGGTATGAAATTCGAAACCCTTATTTCGGCTACTGAACACGATCGTCGATACCGGGCTGACACAAAGAAAACAAGAAAAAGTACCCTCGTTTCCACAACTTCTCTTTTTTCGGTCCATTTACGTGCACCCTTCTCCACGTCTAACTCAATTTTAAACCCAACCATACCTTTTCCACCGACTATAGGCGTTTCAGTTGATAAAAAAATTAAGTAAAATAAAATAACAGTGACCCTCGAACCTTCGATCCTTCGAAATGACACCATACACGAACAAGTTTCGGGTATCCATTACATTAAAAATGTTATACAGAGGACGAAATTTTTATAAAAACCCTGCAGTATCATTACTACGAAACATTGGAAACTGATCTATAACTCTAGTGTTAATTACAAGTAATTTTTAACCTCTTCAGGGACGAATTTTGTTTTCTTTCTTTTTGTCTATTTATTATTGACAGTAACTATAATTATAAAAAAAAAAAAAAAAAACTAAACGTCCACATATGTGGCTAAGGGTGAAGAGGTTAAAGAAGCTTTTCGACTCTGCCGGATTTTGACCCTACCAAAAAAAAAGTGATATCGGTAAAACCTGTCTGATACTTGGCCACATTCGGTGTTCCCCGCTTTTCCCGCCAGCGACCGACGGAAGGACACGGCCGGTTTCCAAGGACCGTCGTGACGCGCGCGACTGTTGGCGAAACCCCACGTGGCGACCGGTTCCCGTCGACTTACGCCGCATTATCGCTCGCGGCGATTCCGATCCGGGCGCGAAACACGCGTCGTCCTACTACGGGATCAACGCGCGCCGGTCTATGAGGCCGCGGAGTTACTAAACTCCGCGACGACCGCGAGAGACCGACAGATCGACCGACCGACCGACCGACTGAACGTCGAGAGTACGACGAACTCGGTGGCCAACGCGCGAATGGGGTAGCTTGTGGACAGAAACAGAGGGGGGAGTAGGGGGCTGAAGGAAGGAGATGGAGACTCTCGAGAACGAGAGAGACGATGATAATAATAATAATAAGAGAAACAGAGAGAGAGAGAGAGAGAGAGAGCCATAGGAATAGAAGAGAAAAGAAGGGGGGGAGAGAGGACACGGAGTCGTGGGTGGGCGAAAGAAAGTGGTGGGGGTAGGTGTAGCGGATCCATTCATGCACCAACGTAGAGTACGGAAGGTGCAGGCGTTGGAGCACCCGGCCAGAGCCTGATTGGCCGTTGCTGAGTGCAGACTGAGCACAGACACTTTGACTGCTACTGTGACGGTCGTTGGTGCACGCTCCGTATAGATCGAGAGAGTAGGAAGCTCTGTCTACTAAGCGCCGGTGGTGCGACTGTAGGGTCCGGCCAACAGTCACGTGTCCTGGCTGCGACGTCTGGGGCTATGAATGAACCAGCTTTCGGATCTCCGCGGGCCTCCTCGGGAAATCCCCGCGGTTCTGTGTTCCGCCGGCTATCGGCGGGACGCTCGACGCGCTCGCGTGGGTATTTTGTTCAGTCGTTGGGAATCCGTCGCGAGTGGGTCACCTTGGACGGAGTTGGACTAGGAACTGCTTGATGTTTACACTCTGTATACGTGCGTATACATTTTGTAATTAAATCGTATGGCAAGGGGTTAACTTCGCTACTCCTACTCAAATAAAATCATAGATTTGTCCACCGTAGGTAAGATTTTATGCAGTTGCTCAAACGATAGAAATCATATTCTATAAATATCAATGAATAATGAATCTTGTGGGTGTTCGGAGCATGCTATATTTACGGACACTAAATCAGGCGAGAAGACTTCGCCGTGTCCGTTTCTATTTTTGTATAAGTTTTCCTTGTATGCTTTGATCATTACGATTCATAAGATTTGACGCTATTTGCAATAATAGACAAGTATGCCTTCTATGCTAAATAATTATTTCTATGTGTACTTCCGTGGAACAATCGTCTGCGACTGCTGGTAATGGAAAATAAAACAAGGATTCTAGATGTTTCAATGCCAACTGCAAACTGCATTAATTGTTATTAGTATACTTATCTAATTATTCATCTTGAAAGATTACATCTTTTCTCAGGCTATTCTATGGAACATGGTGTGGAAAAAGTTCAGTGACAAGTTTTAGGAGGCATGCGATGATTGTTAAAACGAACAAAGAATATTCTCATACGTGACTTTAAAATTATTACTTATTGCAATATAAGCGAGATATTTTAGACGCTAGCCTTAAGTGGGGCAACCTTTTATTAAGTGGATTAATAAATATGTATTTGCAAAATTTCTCTAAATTTCAATTTCTAATGCGGTGCACATCGGTATGTGAAATTTACATAAACGAAAGTTCCTTAGAGCTCTCGATAAATATTTGAGAGTGTCATCAACACTGTCAATGTCGACACTTCAAGAGTTAAAGCAGAAATTTGAATTGATTAGAATTTGGAAAAGTGAGTCTTAACATGTAGCATTCGAAGTGCACCCTGGCGGTGCTACTGACAATTTCTTGCAAACCTCAAAAGGCGCCACTACAGCGCCACGTTATCTTTTCTGCAATGATACTATAACTATGATAATATTATCTGCTTGCAAATATCTTATCTTAAAACCAGCCATGTGTGGACAACATTCTAAAATAAACTTCACGATAATACATATTGTGCATTTTTACTTCTGCATTTATGTTCACCTACCAAATATATAAAGGGCATTTTAAACAAAAATGTTATTCAATATTAAGTGTCGATCTTAATACGATTATTTTTGTAAATGTACGATATGTCATACGACAATTATATTATTGACACGTAAAATCTACATAAAATTGACAATATTAGTAATATTCTTATAAAGAGACGCGAACAGACTTATCACATAACCTAATATATAATTTTACTATTTAATTTTTTATTAGCCAGTAGAAAATATTACTTAATATTATTTAAAAGGTTATGCACCGCTGACACGAAGGCACGTCTAAGGTAATATCCGTTAAAACGAAATACAGATGCTTCAGTACAATATACGTATTTCATCGATTGGACGCTATAAATGTAAACGTTGGTATACTTTCGTGAAAGAGCGTGCGTCCGAGGAAAGGTTAGGGCAGTATTTCGTCGCGCGACGAAGGGTTCGTAACGACCAATAATGGGAACCACGTTATCTTCGCCCAATAGGCGGGGGATGGCGGAAGCGTCGCGGATACAACGGAATGGCGCGAAAGATACGAAGGACGCAGCAAAGAAGAATTGACCGCGTTCTTGTTTGCAAGCGGCGCACGGTAACAAGGTTGCACACATAGCTTAACCGGGGAGAGAGGACAGCGACTCAGGAACCACGTGGGCTCGTCAGCGGGGCCAGAGTATGAATGAACGAACGAACGTACGTACTATACGATACGGAAAATGGTGGTGGGGCGTAGGTACCAGAGTGCCGATACGCCGGTGGTGGCCGTGCGGTAAAACGTCGCTGGCTCTCCTACTCTTGCAGACGCTCGCGGACCGCCAGACATAATGGAACATCGTGCTATGACAATGATAGAGCGAGGAGAATGTGGGGGTCGGGGGTTACTCGAGAAAGTTGCTACGAATCCCGTTTCCATCTTCCGCGGCGCCTTCAATCGAGCCTCTTGCGTACTCGGAGACTGCAGGGACTTAATACCGGCATAGCCTTCGATTTTTTTTCGTAACCTTATCCAACGAGAGTCGCACGGTATCTTGTGGGGCAGGAAACACAATGGATCCTCAGATCCGCAGATCGTATCGGGAAAGTAGACATCCGTGTAACGTAACACGATGTCCGCGTGCATTAAAGTACTTTTTACGCGATGTTGAGCGTGCCGGCACGGTTCACCTGCTTCTCGAATGATGTACGACGCGATGCCGACAGTTTCTAAAATAAATTGATGGATGGTAGGAGCGCGTCTTAGATACTTACCTAAGGTAAATTTGTTTAAGGCCAACCCCGCTGTTGACGCAGCCGTTGGGTAGATGGAATTGTTCGCATAGCAATGTCCACTCGTTTCTGCTATTAACCTGAAACACAAAACGACCGCGGGAAATGTTAAATGTCGGTCATTTGATCGTGCGAGAAAATTAGAAAAGGAATGAAAATAAGAAGGGCTTTAAAATTCAATATTTGCACAAAGCAAACAATCCACACGAGTGAAACCGTTAGCAAAAGCTAGTTCAAGACTAAAAGAGTTTTATCTTACGTGTGCAAAATTTGAAATTTAAGTACTCGATAATTCTTTCTGAAAAAAAAGAACCGCAAATGTCATTCAATTTTTAGGACTTAATAGAGACAGACGAGGATCATTTTACAGCCATGGATGGATTTACGTTGGTATTTATGGCTCGCATTATTTATAGCCGTTAGGCTGTTTGAACAGCGACAAAGAGACGCAATGCGCGCCTCAAAACGAATTTACCGTGGAATTCGATTTTTTTTTCACCCGCCATGCCGTCGCTTTAATGCATCGATTACGATAGCTCCAAGTGTAACATGTCGTTTTAGACTCGTTTAAGATTACGAATTACTGGCTCTCGTTAACGGGTTATTTTTAACGAATATTATTCCTCGTTGCCTGATACAGCGTCACGAATCATTCGTCTGGTTGTTCTTCTCTTTCGAAAATAAAAATACCGACGGACGAGGGATATTAAGCATTTATAACCCAAATTACTTTTGGCCTCTGAAAAGAATTATACGATAGAATCAATGTTTTTCGAATTCCTATTCAAATGTTTAAAAGCGTGGGTGGTGTTATACTTATGATCCGCAGAGTATTAGCTAAAAGGCGTCGCTTTTAACCGTTCTGGATCCCAAAAATACCGATTACTTTCGCAAAAGAGACGGAACGGTCGCGAAAAATTCAACTCGACGCGAACCTGTAGCTGGACGCCGGATTACGACACGCTCGCGGCGTCTTTGCGCGAAATGATCCAACCGACATAACGCTCTGACGAGTACCAAGAAGCGATAGGCGGGGGAAATATTCGAAGCTCGGCGGTGGCTCGTTTACGACTCGGCGTCCAGCCAAAGGGGAGTTTACGGTTTCGTCCACGAACCAGAGTTGAAAGCTCACGCGCCGCCAGATACACTCGTACACGAAAGTATTCGACGCTTACGTTTATAACGGTCAACTAATAAAATATATATGTTAAACTGAAACATTCCAAGCAACCAAACGACCCTAAAACATGAAATTGAGAAAACGATTCAACAGTATATACTATTTTTACAATACATTTATTGTAATCACGTACCAGAGGTGGTTCACCAAAGTATTTGAAATTAAACGACGTTCCTGAATATCACAGAATTGTAAACAAATATTGCTCAGATTATTGGTAGTTAGTAGAAAGGAAACAGTGTTCAAATTTCTATCACAATTTTCACTATTAATAATATCAAAATGAATAGCAAGAAATTCGAAACAGACAAATCCATAAGAGGATACACAACTTGTAAACAGAAGGAAGTCTATCGTACATATTGTGACGAAATTGAATACGCGTGGTAACAGTCTGACGTTGTAAATTATCGTATTACATCAAATGCTTCAGTTTAACGTACATATATGTTTCATTGGTCGAATATTCTAAATGCAAGCGTTCGAATACTTTCGTATACGAGTGTAGGTCCCCTTTCGCGGCGAGAACGTGTGTGCTGTACCGAATATACCGGGAGCCGTGATCCGTCAGAGGCACAAGATGAATACCAACGGCATCGCGCTTCGAGGGGAATTCCTAGTAGTGGGATACGAGATAAAACGGCCCGGCGGGATATAAATTTCTTCGCCGCCGCGCTGAAAAAATAACCGACGACTCGTGTTACGCGGCTCGAACACACACGTGTCGCGCGTTGACAGGAAAAGAGAGAACGTTTGTTTATTATATGCCCCTGGACCGAGGTCCCCTAAGAGCATTTATCCGAAAATACTGAATTTTCGCGGAATACAAAACCAACTAGGTAGAAAAGTGAAGTACAAAACAATTGGCCGAAAAATGTGCAATCGAAAGTCGATAAAGAAAATGTAATCTGCACAATATTTTTTCATTTTTAACCCCTTCTTTTATACTTATAAATATAATCTACGTTTGGAAAAACTTTAATGGCGGATTCTAGAGGCCAATATAAGACGAAAATCAAGAATACCAATTTGTTGATGGAGCTTTCGTTAAAAAGTTATTAGCAATTAAATTAAAAAATTTCAAATCGTTCTGGAAAAATTATTTTCGGTTACAGAGGTCAATTACAATCATTTTTGGTGAATAGACATACCCCCGAAATCCTATCCACTTTTTAGAAAAAAAATCAAGGTGTGAAATTTTTCGACGGAAAAAAAAATTTCAAATCGTTTTGGAAAAATTATTTTCGGTTGCGGGGCTCAATTGCAATCATTTTTGGTGAATAGACATACCCCCGAAATCCTGCGCATTTTCGAGAGAAAAAATTCAGTACGGGTGGAACTTTAAACGTTAATAACTTTTTAACGAAGCCTCCATCAACAAATTGGTATTCTTGATTTTCGTCTTATTTTGGCTTTTAGAATCTCCCATTAAATTTTTCCCAGGGGTGGCCGAATACCCTGTATACAAGTAAAACGAGTAGGAAAAATGGCCAAAAGGGGGCGAGGAAGGTAGAGCTAAAAAATGAGAGGCAAAGGAAATGAAATGAAGGGAGGAGAAAATAAGCAAGGAAGAAATGTGCGGCATGTCAGGTGAACAGTCGAGTAGAAAGCGCCAACATTCAGTCGACTTTGCCCGGGAATGAGGTAGGCGGACAACAGACGAAAGAAGGCAGAGAGAGAGAGAGAGAGAGAGAGAGAGAGAGAGAGAGAGAGAGAGAGAGAGAAAGAGAGAGAGATATGTATAGTGTAGTGTCGCAATGGGAAAGAACAGAAATGGTAACGATACAACGTGCAAAAATAAATTGGAAATGTGTAGTAAAATTTTGTTGTGCGGAGTGTCGTCTCCAGAATTATCGATTTTGAAGGTATAGACGGTGCGTCTGATATACAAGTTACTAGATTCTAGAAAGAATTTGCTTGTTTCAATGTTAAAAAACAAAAACGTGTAAATCTTGCAAGCATCCATATATTCACTGATATTGAAATTATATTTCATACTAAATATTGTACCATAATTATATAAAGACAAAAATATTTAAAAAAAAAAACATATATGCATTGTAAAGTAATAAAATGAAGTAAATTATTGGGTTGTAACATAAATAGGTTCTATTGTGTTCAATATTATTTTTTATTTATCAACAAAGTACAGAATTACATTGAATTAATTGTATAGTCACTATTATTATTTATGACAATTTCCTATTTTGAAGGCAATTGGTTAAAACCATCCGAATAGTACTCTTAGAATTAGAACATATTTTAATTTGCAACCAAATTTATTTATGTTGTAACATAATATGTGTAACGTAGAAGTGTATGACTTACTTATTGATTTTTAAATTAATCAATCGTAATTGAATAATTATTGACACATAAACAAAAAATAAGACGCAATCGTTAATGGATACGTGGTGATCCCATGCCACATAACCTGAAACAATAATTATAAGTAATGTAAATATCTTGTTTGAAACATATTTTGAATAACTAGGATATTTAAACAAAGAATGAAAAATGCTTTCATAATGTTAACGTAAGTCATACACTTGTACATTATATATAATTTACTTTAATTCGCTGGTTTATTTGTCATTTTTATATGTTGGTTTTGAATGGGACCAAAATAAAATGGCTGACACACTAAAAAATATGCTTGTGATGGTGTTACCTTAAAATAATGTTTGTTACACCATGCAACAATTCATATTCTTATTTATCTGGCTCTAATGATAATCTTTGTCGTATCATGTGTTTCATAAAACAAGACACATTCTAACTTGCCTTATACCGAATAGGTTAGGTAATTATCATTTAGGAGGGTACAGTCGTCGATAAAAATTAAGACGAAATTAATTAGTTAGGCGTAATATTTGCTAAACAGAAAACATATGATTTAGGCTACTCCCATAATAACCGACGCTTATTATGACAAGGCGGTAACCTCGTTTGTGTCCTGTCACGTACGAAAATTCATGAGAACAGCCATTACATGATGAACGCGTTAAATGATTATACTAGCATTCGACGCGGTCGATCAATTTCGTCTCGCGATTCCTACGCGCTAATCGGAAGAACTACCCATGTAGCGTAGTAAAGAGCGAGGTACTTAAATTTCGAGATTAAGTTTCTATGGAGCAGTGTGGCGCCACGTACGGATCGACCAATACGCGACAATATCGTACGGTCAGTCTGTCCGGACGGCGTCGCATCGTATTAATTATTCGAGTAAAATAAAATTCAATCAACCGGCTAGCGCCAGATGCCATGTGCCGAGCAATAGCCACGAGACGTAATGAAATATCGTCTGGACGCACGGCTCCTCGCTATTGCACGGTGCATTTGTTGCAAACAGAGAGAGGAACGGGGGAACGAGTCGTGAAATCGACGACGGACGGACATACTGGGTCAGTGCTCTCTGGATCCGCGCCCGTTTCTTTGCTATTCTCGTCGTTACAACGTTCAACCTTATGAATCGAGAATGTGGCGCCCCACCGTGGACGACCTCGCGACATCATCGGCCTCATCAAAAACCGCTCGACGAACGCTCGTCGTGCAGCAAAGAAATATCCGACAGTCAATGAACGTGACTAGCACGATGAAAAAGAAATAAAAATCGTTCTCCGAAACGCATTAACCTTCTATAACGCTCCCGTGACTCTGAACTATGATGCCCAATTATATGTATTTTCTTAAAATCCAATTACACACGTTGACTGTCACGATGGTCGCTAGTGACCAGCATCTATAACTTACGTGTATCGAAATGATTTACAATGGAAGATCCAGTTGCATTTTAGTTACAGATTAGTTAGTAGGCTACGAAAGAAATTTGTATAAAAAATACAACAGTTTCAACGGAATCTACTGCAAAAATTCCATAATTATTTCAACACTTGA